TTCGATGCCGTCGTAAATGGGATTGTTGGTAATGAGATTAATGATCTTATTGCTAGCATGTACCATGTCAGGTTGACCTCCATTGTATTTTTTCTTAGTGGATTTGTCACTATGCGGCAACTCGTCTTCATGCTTTTCATCTTATCATCCTCTGAGTACCCCACCAGCGTAAACTGTTAGCGTAGGAGGGTGCACCATTCCATTATCATCCATTAAAAATATATATAATATAAGTACGAAGTAGCAGGATTTTTACAGGTATGGTCACTCTATTCTCCCAAACTTGAAATTAAAAATGTATCTATATTATTGTAAACATGTATAACATTTATTTGGAAAGAATACGAGTTGAGTTTCTTGTCAGTTCTTCTCATCTCGAAATCATTCCGAACTGACGGTAGATTTGACATATCATAAGAGTCTGATCATAAGACTTACATGAATAAACAAATTTTGAATTTTGCACCAGTTTTGACGCTATATATAAAATGATATTTAATGAATAATGAATTTTGAAAATATTATATATGACATTTTGGTAGGGAGTGTATTGAATGCGCGAGCGCACGCGTGGGCAGGCAATTGTATTGTGACTCACAGTACAGATTGATAGACTGATGCTCCTGTTTGTAAGTTGATCTAAGATACCGCTAAGATATCTACTACGACTGTTTTATTTCGTAAATTAATTTGTATGAGATCATACATGCGTACCTACATCGTAGAGTTATAGAGACACGGTAGAAGCGGAAAGTACCTTTATTACTAGCCCCGGCTTGGCCCGGGTGTACATTGTATATGTGTGTTATATATATAAACCTTCCTCTAGAATAACTTCATATATTTAAAAAAAACCGCCTCAAAATCCGTTGCACAGTTTAAAAGATTTAAGCATACATAGGGACGGACAGACAGCGACAGCGACTTTACTTTATACCATGTAATGGTAATGATGATTATTTTAGTTATAAAAGATTTTGGGTACATATATGATGTTATTAAAACATGGCCATTACAAAATTTGGTTGTGTAAAGCGTATAAATCTTTAAGTTAATTAATATGTTAAATATCCTACGATTTATATATCTATACTCTATACATATAAATAAAATTGGAGTGTCTGTTTGTAATATTGAAATAACTGTTTTTTACTACAAGATATTGACATTGATATGCAATATAAATACGGTACATAGACCAAAATAACACGTTTTACAATTTTTGTCTGTCTGTTTGTTCCGGCTAATCTCTGAACTCTAAATATCTAATATATCCTTCGGTATCTTATTGTAATTTTTTATGCCCATTCCCATAATATGTACACTTATAAACATATGTTTATTACTTGCGCCACCTATCTTTTTTTATCTTTATTTCTCTATCCACACAAAGGTAGTGTGGAAGAGATTGCTTAACAATAAGACTGCCTCTTGTATCAGTTAATGTATATCTTAATATTTTAAATCTACTTTCTGTATTTGTGCAATAAAGAGTATAAATCTTAAATATAAAATTCTCGTGTCACAATGTTAGTTACCATACTCCTCGAAACGGCTTGACTGATTTAATGAAATTTCATGTGCATGTTCAGTAGGTCTGACTATCGGCTACTATCTATTTTTCATGCACCCCTAAGTGGTAAGGGTTGTCGACACCTAACGTTTTTTTTAGTATTTGTCTATATATTTTTTTTTATAAAGTCATTATAATACATACATTCCTAAATGTTCACCTTTCTACCATCAACCCCTATTTTTTAATAGCGATTTTGATTTATATGCCAAAAAAACGTTTCGGGGTCAGCTATTAAATAAATAATAATATTATGAATATGGTAATGTTATGTATATAGTAATAGTGTATGCCGTAGAGTAGGAGAGCGGGTGGGTCGTCGCCCCTCGTTATCGTTTCGGCATACATTCCTTGACCCCCGGCCTGCCGCGCGGCCGCCACTATCTGCACCTACAACAATTATACTCTGATTTGTCATAATTCAGTCTGATATTTTAAACTACGATCGATTTATCTATTTATGATAAAAAGTGCTCTCTATATAATTAATATTATAAATGCGAGAGTTTGTTACTATGGATGTTTGTCACTCTTTCGTAGAAAAACGGATTTTTATGAAACTTTATATATTAGCTTATGCATCAAAATAACATAGATTGTATTTTTTTATTATAATTTAAAGCAGATGAAAACTGCAGGCATAGCTAGTTTATAATAATAACCCTGTATAATATACACAGCGTTGTGTAGTCCCAAATTGTGTAGAGTTTTTGGTATGAATGACAACTGAATCTTTGGCAAGGCAATGAATTATTGGTTCAACAATCAGATTTTACATGGATATTTTATATGTATACCTATATTATATGTATAACATGGATATTTATATTTATATGTATATATACCTATATGTTACAACTTCTTGTAATTAGTGAAACTGTTAAGAAAGTTTACATTTTTACATTTTATTAGTTAGTTTACATTTTATTTTTGTAATAATAAAATGTAGTTCATATTACGCAATAATGTAATAGGCAGAGCGCTATTTCGAATTTATCCGTTATATAAAAAAAAATATCTGTCCTCTATAGTTTATGGAAATGTAGAAAGAATTAAATGTTATCAAATAAAATTAAAGTATCATTGAACAATAATTTTATATGGTTTTAATACAACAATATTGTCTTCAGTGTGCATTACCAGATTTCTTATCTAAAACTACACAAATATAAAAATAATATAGACGTATAAACAGACGTATAAATACCGGTGGAACTTGGGTAACGAAAGATAATTTGTTCACGTGACGTTTTTGGTATCATTGATATTACCTATTAAAAGTTTTTATCCTTAATTTTTTTTTAAATAACTATTCTACTATTAATATCTAGGGATATTATGTAGGATATATTTGGAGTCATCGGTAATCAATCTAATTCAACATTTAAATGTATAAATTAATGAAATACGGAATAAATAAATCGTGTATTCCTTACACTGAAACTTAATGATTATAAATAATTAAGTAATAATGTATTGTTATAATAGATTGTAATTATCAAACATCTGAATGAATAAATTGATTTGTGTGTAAAAAGTTGTAACCTAATTAATTAACTGGGTCAGCTTTGTTGTTGTGTTTAGAGTGGCCTCGTAGGTACAAGACATATGCACAACTCGGCAGATAACAATGTTATCCACTCTAAAATTTGTTATAATAAAGTAAAAATCTTTAGTAAAGATAACATTAGATTAATAATGTGACGGCCTCGGCGGTCTAGTGGTTTAACACATTGTCTTACTTCCGATGGTCGCCTATTCGATTCCTCATATACATTTTTTCATGTTTGCTCGTTGCTCAATTAGATGTATTTTATTAATAATACTGCAGATATACGACTCTTTTATTGTATATGATTATATTTATTGTATTTAACATGACAACCCTTTGTAAAACGATTCGACTCGACACACCGACAGACCATAGACTAAGTAATTAATCATAAACATAGACAATGTATTTTTATGGCTCTGAATACACAACACATTTAAATATTGCATTAAAATCCGTTGCGTAATTTAAAAGCTATAAGTGTACAGACAGTGGAAATGACTTTGTTTATACTATGTAAAAATTGGGTCGTTTTATACATAATCTCTACAATAAAGTATTACTAATAACAAAAATATCTTAGGACAACTCACACAGCGCCATCTAGTCCCAAGTTAACCAGAGATTGTGTTATAGGTACTAGATAACTGATAAAAATACATAGATCCTTTTTTTTGTAAATGCATACATATTATAAAACATCCAACGGATACAAAATCATACTAATAATTAATGTATCTTACGAGGATTCGAGCCCGCGACCATTGGAAGTAAGGCGGTATGTAAAGCCGCTGGCCCAGGGAGGCGTGTCAGGTGTTAAGACCTGTAGCACTGCGACCTATATAGATCTATTGTGCTGGTTCTTTTTTCAGAGTTCGCTACTTAGACCCGTCAGACTTGTAGGATATTCTTAGGAGTGATGGTATTTATCTCCTCGGCGTATAGTGTATACTTTCCAAAGGAGATATTTCGTTTATGCATGAGTGGGGTACAACTACATTGGATGTGTAGTGGTGTTTCCTCTTCTGCATGACCGAGTCTGGTACGAAGCTGGCCTTTACAGCTTCACCGGACGATACGACGTGCAGATGGCACTCCAAACCTGCAGAAGGACTTATGGAGCGGCTGAAGGCCAACTCCCGCCTGACGGATACGACTTTAGTCTGAGAATACTGCTAGGGGTAAACCTAGGCTCAGGCTTTAGTAATTTCGATTCCCATTTGAATTCAAATTCAAAATATCTTTATTAATGTAGGTCTATTACACTCTCTTATGATATGTCAAATCTACCGTCGGTTCGGAATGATACCAAGATGAGAAGAGCTGACAAGAAACTCAGCTCGTATTCTTTTCAAATAAATATTGTACATGTTTACAATAATACAGTCATTAAAATTTGTCAGAATACAGTGACCACCAGCATATGCTATTGCAAAAAACAAAATCTAGTCAGTGTTCGTAACCAGAACAGACCAGTAGACCGTAGACCCCACAAGCAGCACCCGTTCACGAGTAGAGTATATGAGGATCAAACTTTGTACAAAGTGTATACGTGTATGAAGCAGCCCCCGATCACGAGTATGACGGATCTATCGGAGGAGACCAAATTTTGTACAAAGTGTATATGTGTATGATATGGTTGCAGGGTGATGGTGCCAAGATGACATGGCTGTGGTTGTTGGCGGCGGTGGTGGTGAGCGTGTGCGCGGAGCCCTACCAGTCTAGCTCGAGGCCGCCGCGCACCAGGCACTTCAACCGCGGACACCGCAGCCGCGACTACCCGACCCCCTCACAGTTCGTCGGGTAAGGATTGCCTTACATCAGGATTGCCTTACCTTACATCTACACATCTATATACAGGATGTTTGGAAGATGGGTGCAAAGCTTTAACGCCTTGTTAGTATAGACCACTTAGAACCGTATTTGACCATGCTTAGCCTTCGTGACGTACGATTTAATTTATTACCGAATTTTTACAATTTTTGTTGCAAAAACACAATTTTTTTTTGCAATTAATTGCAAGTAGTGGTCAATCTCGAAGATTAGTGAGTTATTTTTTATTTTATTTGAATTAAGTAATGTGTAAACAACCAAATAAGACTTGATGTACATAACAAGGCGTTAAAGCTTTGCACCCATCTTCCAAACATCCTGTATATTTTACTAGCGGCCCCAGCCACGAGCTCCTGTGGCTAAAGTTCTTGAATAAAATAATATTGCGACTATGAATTGAGATGTAAGCTCCTATTCTCCTATTTTTCAAGTTGAATTAATATGCGCACAATCAAATTTGCAATCGGTTCAGTAGTTTAGGAGTTCTTCGCGGACAAACAATGTGACACGTGATTTTATATATATATATATACTAGCTAACCCCGCAAATGTTGTTGTGCCATATAAATTAAAATCGCTATTAACAAATAACAAAAACGACAAAAATGTGGCGCAGACGATGTTACGCGGGTCAGTTAGTAATATAGAAAGAACGTATGTACAGAATAATTACGTATTCAGCTAGTACTAGGTTCGAATCTCGTACACTGCAGGATGCGCGCACGTGAGTGTCCTGCGCGCGCGCATCATCTGTATCAACATCACAACGAATTCATCACACGTCCGTAACAATGCGCCGGCTACTAAACTGACCAACATTGCTCGCATTCTTCCATTAACTCGTTGACATATAAGGCGTACTTTCCTCGCGTATTTTGTCCCTTTGTAAGTTGACAACTTCTGGTTCCAAACTATGCTTTTAGGTTTTTTTAAAAGGATGTTAATGGGTCACCTGCCTGCGCTAACGGTTTACGCTGGCGGGGCAACAGTGGAGGATGATAAAATGAGCATAAGTCAGGTCAGTTAGCCCATGACAAATCACCAGTAATTTATCATGATGGTTTCCAGGAAAAACGCGTGGAGGTTATGGTTCTGGATTAAATTTAACGACTTTTAGTTTTACTAGAATTGTCGAATTATTAGAATAGGATAGAAAATCAAATTCAAATAAACTTAATTTAAGCACTTTTGAATAGTCAACATTTTTTTAAATCTACCGCTTATTAGGAAAGCTGTCTCATCACAAGAAGAATAAGCAAGAAACTTGTGTGTTGCTCTTTTAAACAATCCTTGTAAGTTCACATTTTACAAGTCGAAACGTTTGGATAGAAACTACCAACCAGCACTAATTTATTTAGGCTCAAATATAAAAACACAATAAGATTAAATCAGTCGTAGTGATAAGAGCAGACCAGTCCCTACAAGCAGCACTCGTTCACGAGTATGACGGATGAGCCAGCCATCACTTCGCTCGACCATATTTTAGGGAGCCCAATGACCCGGCCCACCACGCCGCCACATGTCTGGACATTTTAGTGAGCATGACTACTCATTCCACTCGACCACGTCACAGCTACAAAATTTGTAGTGTACGACCAACAAATAATTGTCTTTTCTTAACTGCATTTACTTAGAGGATTTGCGGCTTTGGATGGACTGTAAATTTAAATGATTTGGCACTATATTTGCTATTCTACATTTCTCACTAATGGAAGAAACAAAGGTCTGTTAGCCCATTAGTAAAGTTACAAGCGGATGTTTGTAGTATGTGCTCTTTCTTTGATGCATGCCGCGTTTGTATATGAACTGCACTAGCGTCTTATTTTATGAATCCATTGGATTTACCCATAATGCTATTCGTTCTATCATTGTCCCAAATTAACTGTTATTCCGCGGCAATGTTCGCATGAATTGTGGGTACAATTTCCACTTGGTACTTGAAATTTGGCCCTTGTTCCGGGCTAGCGATCATGCATATGTTTGGAGTTTGGGGTTTACACTATATATATTTATATATATAAACTATTTTATCCCACCGGTTTCGTTACTCAGAAAATAAGTATTTCATTATATTCCCATTTTATGAGCTTTGGTCTAGGTGTTATAACCCTATAGCACAGTCTTTTATAATCTCTACTACAGCATTGGGATGCCCATATTTGGGATCGACAAAGTTACCAAGTAAATGGTTGAATAATTTAGATCTTGGATTACAATGAATTGGTTCGTTTCAATCTTAGATGTCTGGTTGTTTCCATCTCATTAGGTAATCACGATGGTTTCTTGAGACGCATGAATGTAGTCCTAACAGGGTATATCATTAATACTGGGATATCTGGGTCTCGGATCCCGTCCCCATTTCTTTATACTAATATATAAATGGGAAAATTTGTGAGTATGGATGGATGTTTGTTACTCTTTCACGCAAACACTACTGAACGGATTTTGATGAAACTTTACAGTAACATAGCTTATACGTCAGAATAATACATAGGCTATGCTTTAAAAAGTTAATTATGTATATTGGGCGATTTATAACCAAGCAGAGCGGGTCAGCTAGAAATTACAATAAATTTCTTTATATGTATATAAACGCACATGTACCAAGCCAAAAGTACCTATTTGGATAGTGTGTTCTATACATTTTACGTCATACTCTACAGCTACGTTCCCCCAAATTTATCTTATACCAGATTCAATTTGTTATCTAAACTGACGGGGTCGAAGTTTATCTAAGTACAACACCTGATGTTATTATTATTGTTATTTAGTCGTCGCTAAACTGAAGTTCAGCGACCGTCTTATCGGAAGTGATTTGTAGTGTTCCGAATTGAAATGATCTACTTTTTCCGTCCCAAAGATATTTTGCTGAAACTACGTTTTTTTAATTGATGATAATGGAATGGCGCACCCGGCTTCGTTAATGGTTTACGCTGACGGGGCACCAGTGCAGGATGATAAGATGAATATGAGGTCAGGTTATGACAAACCACCAGGAGTTTATGACGATGATTTCCAGGAACCGCGCGAAGGTCTACCTGACTCTGCTCCCCCTGCTGAAACTATTCACACGCTCGGTTTGAATAGAATAGAAAATATTACTTATTAAAATAAACTTAAATTATATATATATCTTATATATAAAATTCTCGTGTCACAGTTTTCGTTCCCATACTCCTCCGAAACGGCTTGACCGATTCTCATGAAATTTTGTGAGCGTATTGAGTAGGTCTGAGAATCGGCCAACATCTATTTTTCATCCCCCTAAATGTTAGGGGTAGTCCACCCCTAATTGTTTATTTTTATTTTAAGGCAAAACAATTTTTGCCGGGACAGCTTGTATGTATATATTATATACAGAAACCTCACCCTGTACAAGAAAATGGTTCCTTTCTAACTCGGATTATTCTTTGGGCTACTTTAATTCTTCGACAGCCACTTTGATGGTTTTTTTATTTTACGGCCTCGGTAGTCTAGCGGTTTAGTAAACTGCTTTACTTCCGGTGATCGCAGGTTCGATTCCTCGCACGGCGCAAACATTTGTATTCATGAGTATGATTATATGTATCGGACTAAGTGTTTTCTATGTATATCCAAAAAAGTATTTATATCAATTGTCTAGTCGCTCTGCTTATTGTGACACTAGGTGGCGCTGTGTTAATTGTCCATAGTTAATTTTTTTGTTTCATTGTTATTATTATTATTATGTATAGTTTACAGTTTAGAGTACTTTGGATATGTATCGTTTAGAGCATACGCTGTGACGTCACGTTACAATTCTGTATCGTACATTGACTTGTAGGCGTGTTTGTTAAAATTGGCGTTATTATACTAAATATAATACACAATTGGGTTGTACACATAATACACTTTCTTATGATTCATTTTATTACAATGCATTTAGTGTATTCAGAGCATTGAGGATAATCTTCATTGGTTTTTTTATTTTTTCTAATGAATTTGTAGTAATGAAATTTTGTTATATGTATTTCTTTTTGTATGATTTTCTTGTTCATGTTTTATATTTTAATTCCAATTCAAATTTAAATTCTAAATATCTTTATTCATGTAGGTATATTACAGACTCTTATGATATGTCAAATCTACCGTCATTTCGAGATAAGAAGAATGAACAAGAAACTAAGCTCGTATTATTTTCAAATAAATGTTGTACATATTTACAATAATACAGATTCATTTAAATTAAAATTTGGGAGACTGAAGTTACCACCCATGCATTGTGTTATTTCTATTTATATGATATAATAATTTATATACTGCTGTGAGCATTATCATTGTTGTGGTGTGATGTAATAATAATTATTCTATTCTATTCTAAATATTGGGGTTTATATTCAAAGAATATTTAAATCTTAATCCTATTTCATAAAATACATAAAAGTAGATTATGTCATTACTTATAACATTAGCTATCTGCGAGTGAAAGTCCCGTCAAAATCGGTCGAACTGTTTCAGAGATTATGAGGAACAAACAATATTTAAAATTAACTGTTTTATTTTTTATCTAACTAGAATAAAATTGATACAAATAGAATAAATGTAAAAATTGATCAACACAATGTTTAGTGTTATACACATTTTTCCCGCGCAAACGTAATGCACCACAGATGCACAATATTGCAAGGCGCACAGTATGCTGTATTAGTATGACAAAACTATATGTCAAATAAAGCAGATAACAGAAGACATAACAATATAACACTGTTCTATTTCAAATAGACATTAAAAACATAAATCTTATACATAAAAATCTCGTATTGCAATGTCAATTACCATACTCTTCCGGAATGGCTTGACCGATTTTTATAAAATTGTATATGCATATTCAGTAGGTCTGAGAATCGGCTACTAACTATTTTTCATACTCATAAGTGATAGTTAAATAAATGTAAGAATAAAAAAAAATCTTCAGTTTTTTTTATAATATGGCATTAAGAAATACACAACCCTAAATTTTCACCCTTTTACCACCAACCTCTATTTTTTAATAGCGATTTTGAACAGTGAAAAGCTGTTAATTTGATATTACTCACAACAAACAAACACTTCAATTAATTTATATGTTATAATAATACGATACAGATAGGTTACAATAATTCGAGTTTTGAAATCTATGTGGGCGAACACTACTCGGTTAATTTCACGCTTATAATTTCGGCTGCGGACAGTAGATAGGCAAGCGGACCAGGGGGGTCGCGGGTTCAATAGGCCAAACGCTGGACAAGGCCACTGCATGGATGCAAGGAAATCATTTGCATGCCACTTATACTAATGCGATATGACGACCTACGCTGTCCACGGTTTGAGAATAATATTTTAGCTTATCCTAGCTTGATGGTCGTGACTTCGAATTTCACATAATACAAACATTTGTATTTGTGTCTGTTATTGTATTGTATTGGTCTAGGTTTTTATTTATGTGTGGCGAATTAACTATTATCAACCGGCAACACTGATCTCTAGTTACAACAGAATAATAAAATAACAGGCTTATCTTTCGAGATTAAATCACTTTCTTGTACATAAACATATATCCACTAGCTTTTGCCCGCGGCTTCGCTCGCGTTAATTTATCCCCTTAGGGGTGGAATTTATCAAAGTCCTTTCTTAGGGGATGTCTACGTCATAGTAGCTTTATGCATGCAAAGTCTCAGCCCGATCGGTTTAAAATTGACAAAGTTTCATACAAACTTTCATCCCCTATTTTATCCCCTTGGGAGTAGAATTAATCAAAATCCTTTCTTAGCGGATGCCTACGTCATAACATCTACCTGCATGCCAAATTTCAGCCCGATCCATCCTGAGGTTTGGCGTTGATAGATCACTATGTCAGTCACCTTTGAGTTATATATATTTGGATTGTAAATACTTCTATATTATAAATATGTATATAGCTACAATCTGGACTCATCACTTCAACTCCTACTTTCCTGCTGCTGGTACAATACATGGAACACATTACAAACACAAATACTAGCGGCCCCAAGATAGCCGCTAATATTTCTACGAGAAATTCTTATTTTGCCACAAGTTTCTTGCTCATTCTCCTTGTTCTGAGTCTGCATCGGAGGGAGTGGTAGAATAAAAAAATATAACTATTCAAAAGTGCTTGTATTGAGTTTATTTGAATAAAGTATTTCTACTTCATATCTCAGATTCAAATTTTACCTAAATGTCGTTTGGCTAAAGTTAGTAATTCGTTTTATGGCAATTGCGTAAGGTTTTACAATAAAATACCAGTCTGTTATAAATCTGCCAGAAAAAAGATTTAAATGTCAAATAAAACAGTTCCTTTGCAAAAAAGCTTACTATAAAATTGAGGAATTCGTTAACGATAATAATTTTTTTATAGAAAAACTTTAAATCCATAGCACTGACAATATTATCTGATTACACTAATAATGAGTGCGTAGCGATTTCTATGTTGATTATCGTATGCCTCTTGTTTTACTATAATTATTTATATATAAAAAAACATCTATTAAAAAGAGCAACACACAAGTTTCTTGCTCATTCTTCTTGTGATGAATCTCAATCTGCATTTCGAATGAGTGGTAGAATCAAAATATGACTATTCAAAAGTGCTTGTAATGAGTTTATTTGAAAAGATTATTTCTATTCTATTCAGAGAATTTAATTAACAGTGTAATGTCATTTGTGTAGAGTAAACTATGCATCAGGTCAGAGTTCATCTTGTATCACTGCGTCCTTAAGCTTAAAACTAACAGTTGCAGACCTTGTACTAGATTTGTATGCACTGAGCATGTCATAAATCTTACATGTTGATTTTAATTGAAGTGTAAATGTTCAATGTAAAATTGGATTTGATTATCAACTACAATTTTTGGTTATATTCGGGAACTTGCCGTAGCTTGCCTTTACAACTTCGTAGGACGAAAAAGTGCGAGAGCAGACGCTACTCTAAGCCCCCGGAAAGACTTATGACGCTAAATACCAACTGCTACCTGACGGATACGACTTTAGTCTGAGGGCATTGCTAGGGATTCGAACCTTGGCACAATCCGTCGTAAATTCGATCCTCGTTTGAATTGGACGGGGGATTGATCGGAGAGGATATGATGTCCATGACGCTGTACATGTATATCAGGAATAGTTAACACTTACCATCCGCGGAAGCACTTACGGAGTGGTTGAATACAAACTGATTCCTCCAACTGAGAGACTTAAGACAGAGTGCACTGCTGGGATTAGAACCCCTAATCCCGTCACTGGAGTCGCGGTCGAATGCTAACGTGACCTTGCGACTTCGTCAATTGCGTGCGTAGGTACAACGTGTAGTTTTCTGTGGTTAATCCCACTCATCCCTCTGACACGGGGATGGTTTTTCAATGATTTTTCCACACGATAAAAAAAAACTGAGTTCTGAGAATTTCGGTTGGATAGATTCCCGTCATTAGAAACCTCGAATTACTACATATCCTAAACGAAAAAATCAATTTGCTTTATTTTTGTTTGAAAGAGGTGACGTTAGAAATTGTTCTTAGCTACAATTTATTATATGTTCCTGAATAAGAGAGACGCAAAAATTTTAGCTGTATACATTATTTTATAATTATACAAGCTGTCCTGGCAAAAGTTGTTTTGCCATAAAATAAAAAAAAATTAGGGGTGGACTACCTCTAACATTTAGGGGGATGAAAAATAGATGTTGGCCGATTCTCAGACCTACTCAATACGCTCACAAAATTTCATGAGAATCGGTCAAGCCGTTTCGGAGGAGTATGGGAACGAAAACTGTGACACGAGAATTTTATATATAAGACTAGTAGCCCAGTGATCGAAATTCGATCATAATTAATTTAACATTCAATAAGACTATAGATGAAATATCATGTGGCTGAAACCGGGGTACAACTAAATTTCTATATATTAAAACGTGAAGCGAAAACTTTGTACCCTGTTTTAATAAACTGAGCAGGCGAACCGAAAATTGAGCAGGCGGAGGAGTAAATTTAACTAATGTGTTAAATTTAATAGTTTATATAGAAAAGAGGTGCAGAATGCTCATTTTTTTTTTAATTATGAACTAAAATACACACGTTAAATAAATAAAGTATTATGAATATCTATTTTTAATTCGACTACAGATTTTAAGAATAGACAAAAGAGTATCTATATACGCGTGTGTGTGTTAAATACATGGTCGTGAGTGTAAGGATTGTTGTATTGATGTAATGTATTTTAGCGTATAATAAAAAAAAAAAATAATTAGTATTCTGCACTTTTCTATATACACTATTCGTGTGTTAAATTTCATGTTAAATTTCCTCCGCTTGCTCAATTTTCGGTTCGCCTGCTCAGTTTATTAAAACCGGGTACAAAGTTTTCGCTTCACGTTTTAATATATATATATAGTTGTACCCGCGGTTTCATCCACATGAAATTTATAGCCTATATGTTATTTTGATGCATAAGCTATATTAATGTAAAGTTTCATCAGAATCCCTTCAGTAGTTTTTGCCTGAAAGAGTAACAAATATCTATACTTCAAATTTTATAATATTAAATAAAATATTAATAAGGTGTTTGTAATATTTGTTACAGGCCAAACGTTTGTCGAACCCGAAACGGCACGCATTGCTGTCCTGGGTGGACCTCCAGACCCAACTCGCTACTATGCGTAGTTCGTGAGTATTTTTTTTTTTTGTATCTCTTCTCGGCGTTGTACGAGTGTAATTTCTATAAGATTAAGAAACTAATTTTTAGGTACATCGTTTACATTTTTGCCATTAATAATGATACAGGTACAATTTTTTTTTTTGGGCTACTCTAATGCTGTTGGTCGCAGCTGGCCATTACAGCTTCACCGGACGTTAGGGGGTGAGTGCAGATGGCACACCAAACCTGCGGAAGGACTTATGGAGCGGCTGAAGGCCAACTCCTGCTTGACGGATACGATTTCAGTCTGAGGGCACCACTAGGGCGAACCCCTAGTGGTACCGTAACCTCGGCTCAGGCTGTCGTAACATCGATCGCCGTTTGAATTGGACGGGAGATCAATCGGAGGGGTGGTAGAAAAATATTACAAATAACATATGAGAAGTCAATAAAACGAAAAATTAGCGCGTTTCAATTTTGTTACAGCGCCATCTATTGGCGTTGAATGCAAACACTATTGTTTCACTGATTACAATCTATTTAAACCTTAACAGTAGTTGTATAGTGATATATTTTCTTTTAACCTGTTCAAGTGTTCATGAAACATATTTGTTTTCTATTCTGTTTTATTCTATTCTATTTTAACTTCTTTTCTGTTTTATCCAGCATTATGTCGTCCCGACTGCGGCTCGCCTGGTGGCTCGCCCGGCGCCTGTATAGGACCGAACATGTGCAGGTGTCCTGGTGGAGTGGAAGCCCCCAGCTGTAACCCCAATGGCTTATATTCGTACACGTGTAAGTATGTCTCTATAATAATACTGTTCAATGAAATTTTAACTTTGCACCTACTAAATAAAGACTGGTTTTCATTGAACTATTACTGAAATCAATGTCTCCCGTAACATAGATTGTACTGAAAGACACTCATGACACGTAATAAAAACACTTTTCATTTAAATTTAAACCTTTGCTCCTTCTAATTAAAGACTGCTATTCATTATTACTTAAATCGATGTCATGTGTATCATTGATTGAACCAAGCCGAAAGAGACTTATGATACGGAATAATTGTTCCAAAAATTCTAATTGAAAAATGCGAAACATTTTTTTTTAATTTCCATGCAAAAGGTCACGTGATCTATTGTGATATACTACGACGGCAATGGTACGTGTATCTAGTGTGATATACATCAGATGATATTGCGGTAAAACGCAGTCAAATCACTACATAGTATAAAAGTCGCTGTCGCTGTCTGTCCGTCCCTATGTATGCTTAAATCTTTAAAACTACGCAAGCCGGGGCGAGTAGCTATTTTGGATATAAAAAAATACTACGATGTTGGCAAACAGCAACAACAATGTGATCAATTTATTGTGACTAGCATAAACTATACGACTAGCTGTTATTTGTGACTTTGTCCGCATATTTGCATCTTCTATTTCATCCTAGATTATTATTTGATCCGTCCCCTAAAGTTCGGGCTTTTAGTCATGAATAGGTAACATTTTTTTTTATTTTCCTGATAAATAAACATTATTTATATAGTTAACTGACGGCGGTGGTCTAGCGGTTTAGCCCACCGCTTTACTTCCGATGGTCGCGGGTTCGATTCCTCGCACGGCACAAACATTTGTATTTATGAGCATGGTTGTTTGTATCCGTTTGGTTGTTTTCTATTTATGTATTTACGAAAAAAAAATCTATGTATTTGTATCAGTTGTCTAGTACCCATAACACAAGCTTTAGTTAGCATAACTTGGGCCTAGATGGCGCTGTGTGAATTCTGAGATTATTATTATATTTTAATAACCACTTAAAATAAAAGCGGTTGTTAACCGAAATAATTTTATGTTAAATAAACAGTCATACCATCAAATTTGTAATATTACCATGGAAATATGTATGTTAAATGTATTTTATTTATTTATATACTCTTTATTGCACCAGGAAAATTACATTAATAGAGTAATTAAAATAAATGGGTACAAAAGGCGGCCTTATCGCTTATGCAATCTCTTCCAGGCAACCTTTGGGTAGAGGAGAAAAAAAAAAAGGTGGCACTAGAATAGAAGAGAAAAAAAACATAATAATAATAATGACAAATTAATAATAATGAATAACATAACATATTACATATATAAACAGTATAATAATGTAATTTATTGCAGCCCGGACGCGTGGAGGCTGTCGCCGTATCTGCATGAACGGTGGAACTTGCACCAACTCGACATGCGCATGCGCACCGGGGTGGAGTGGAGAGTTTTGTACTGAACGTAAGTCTAGCTTTACATATTATTATATATAGAAATCCCGTGTCACAATATCAGTTACTTATATTTATCCTATAAAAAAACGTGTATTAAAGTAGAGCCTTGTGTGGTATTCTCTATCAGCTAACCTAGTAGAAATAGAAACTGCTGTAGGGCAGATATTGTGAAAAACTATGACAATAATCATAATGTTAGTTACCATACTCCTCCGAAACGGCTTGACCGGTTTTTATGATATTTTATATGCATATTCAGTAGGTCTGAGAATTGCCTACTGTCTATTATTCACACCCCTAAGTGATACGGGCCCACCACTGACATTTTTTTTTACATTTATGACATTTTTTGTTTATAATGTTGTATTAAAAAATACATACTATAAAAACCTATATAGGTTTTTATGTATTATATTTTTTATGTTATAAAATAATTTCATTAAAATATTTTCACTTTAAATTATCGCACCATCTTTATTCTTAATGATTATGATTGTTTCTATCGGGTTTTTGTATGTGTTATTATGTGTGTGTTGTGTGTGTATTTATATCAGTTGTCTAGTACCCATAACACAAGCTTTGCATAGCTTGGGACTAGATGGCGCTGTGTGAATTGTCCTGATATATTATTAAATAAATAGAGCTTAACTCTAGGCGGTGTGTATATATATATATATACATTATTTATTCCATTCTGTTAGTATTTAATGTACTTTTTAAGCAGTAAACATCATCTCTTAATTTCTACATAGTAAATGTAAAAATGAAGAGATCTCTGTTAGAGATAAGTTCTCCTTTGCTAACAAAACTATTAATATGTATATGATCTTGTATTTATAAATAAAAAAAAATATCCTAATAATATTATATACATGAAAGTTTGAAAGTATGGATGTTTGTTACTCTTTCACGCAAATACTACTGAACGGATTTTGATGAAACTTTACAGTAATACAACTTATGCATCAGAATAATATATAGGCTGTATTTTTTATTGAAATAAACGCTGGTGAAATCGCGCGCACATCATCATCTGCTTCTTCCTTATTCCATTTATTTGTGGTCGGCGTAATATGTTTTTCTCTTCCATTCATCTCTGTTCGCAGTCATCCCGTTATTTACTCCCTTTCTCATATCATCTTTCACACAGTCCATCCATCTCTTTTTCGGTCTTCCTCTACCCTTATAACCATCCACATTCATATGTAACACCGTCCTTAGGATATGATCTTCATTGCTATGCATTACATGCCCATACCACGATAGACGATTACTCTCCGACATCGGTGCCACTTTCATACTTCCTCTGATGTATTCATTCTTATGTTAATTATTTGTTTGTTCATTTGCAGCGATATGTCGTGAGCCATGCCTGCACGGCGGCAGGTGTATAGCTCCTGACCGCTGCGTTTGCTTCCATGGTCTCTCAGGGACCAGGTGCGAGATTGACAGGAGAACGGGTGAGTAATTTTTTTTTACCATAAAACGTGTATGTTGTGTATGTGACTGGTAACGATGGAGCTGTCCAGGAACATAATGGAATAGAATACAACATTCTTTATTCTTCTTCCCCTTCTTCTTTATTCCGAATGGCTGTCACCAATTTTGATGATATGTTATAATAATTTATATGCTGCTGTGAGCATCCTCATTGTTGTGTTGTGATGTGTGATTATAATAAATATTATTCTATTCTATTCAATTTTGATTCCATTCATTCAAATAAACTTACATTTATACACTTTTGAATAGTCACACTTACTTTTCTGACGGGACTTTTATTGGCAGGTAGCTGATGTAATAAGAAGTAACTTACTTTTATTTTAGAATAAAATCTTTTAAAGTTAAATCCACGCGGACGAAGTCGCGTGTACAGCTAGTATACAATAAGATTAAATTTAGTAATTTTAAGTAAATTGGATAATAAAGGAAATCAATAAGTTATACTATAGGGTTAACAATGGTGTAACCAAAGGACTGTATTAAACTGGTTTAAAATGAGACACGTTCCTAGGTGAGGGGAAATATGTATATTCAGCTAGCTAGCAAAAACGAAAAGACAAGGAATGTGGCATTAGAAAACAATCGGTATATAAAAAAAGAAATTCAAAATATAAAATTAAAAAAGGTATAAAAAAACTATCAAAATTGATTGCTTTCTGCAACAAATGATGTTATAAGTCGGTAAATTAAATTCTGTATATTATGTTGATCGTTAAAAGTAAATAAATAAATGTGGTGTGGTTAGGGCCGTGCTACACTGAGTATTGTAATGTTGTACCTTCTTTTGTTGGTCGTTAATAGTAAATAATAAATGTTGTGTCGTTAAGGCCGTGCTACACGAAGACTCGTGGGCCGGTGTGCCCGCGCTGGAGGGCGGGTCATCAGTCCACGTTTCTATCAATCCCCTTCTCCCTAGCACGACATATTGTAATGGTGTACCTTATTTTGGTGGTTGTTAATAGTAAATAATAAATGTTGTGTCGTTAGGGCCGTGCTACACGAAAACTCGTGGGCCGGTGTGCCCGCGCTGGAGGGTGGGTCATTAGTCCACGTTTCTAATAATCCCCTTCTTTCTAGTACGACATATTGTAATGGTGTACCTTATTTTGGTGGTTGTTAATAGTAAATAATAAATGTTGTGTCGTTAGGGCCGTGCTACACGAAGACTCGTGGGCCGGTGTGTTCGCGCTGGAGGGCGGGTCATCAGTCCACGTTTCCTAACAATACCTATCTCCCTAGCACGAAATATTAGAATGATGTACCTTATTTTGGTGGTCGTTAATAGTAAATAATAAATGTTGTGTCGTTAGGGCCGTTACACGAAGACTCGTGGGCCGGTGTGTTCGCGCTGGAGGGCGGGTCATCAGTCCACGTTTCCTAACAATACCTATCTCCCTAGCACGAAATATTAGAATGATGTACCTTATTTTGGTGGTCGTTAATAGTAAATAATAAATGTTGTGTCGTTAGGGCCGTGCTACACGAAGACTCGTGGGATGGTGTGCCCGCGCTGGAGGGCGAGTCATTAGTCTAGTTTTCTAACAATCCCCTTCTCTCTAGCACGATATATTGTAATGGTGTACCTTATTTTGGTGGTCGTTAATAGTAAATAAATAAATGTTGTGTCGTTAGGGCCGTGCTACACGAAGACTCGTGGGCCGGTGTGTTCGCGCTGGAGGGCGGGTCATCAGTCCACGTTTCTAACAATCCCCTTCTCCCTAGCACGATATATTGTAATGGTGTACCTTATTTTGGTGGTCGTTAATAGTAAATAATAAATGTTGTGTCGTTAAGGCCGTGCTACACGAAGATTGCCCGCGCTGGAGGGCGGGTCATTAGTCCACGTTTCCTAACAATACCTATCTCCCTAGCACGAAATATTAGAATGATGTACCTTATTTTGGTGGTCGTTAATAGTAAATAATAAATGTTGTGTCGTTAGGGCCGTGCTACACGAAGACTCGTGGGCCGGTGTGCCCGCGCTGGAGGGCGGGTCATCAGTCCACGTTTCCTAACAATACCTATCTCCCTAGCACGAAATATTAGAATGATGTACCTTATTTTGGTGGTCGTTAATAGTAAATAATAAATGTTGTGTCGTTAAGGCCGTGCTACACGAAGACTCGTGGGATGGTGTGCCCGCGCTGGAGGGCGAGTCATTAGTCTAGTTTTCTAACAATCCCCTTCTCCCTAGCACGATATATTGTAATGTTGTACCTTCTTTTGTTGGTCGTTAATAGTAAATAATAAATGTTGTGTCGTTAGGGCCGTGCTAAACGAAAACTCGTGGGCCGGTGTGCCCGCGCTGGAGGGCGGGTCATTAGTCCACGTTTCCTAACAATACCTATCTCCCTAGCACGAAATATTAGAATGATGTACCTTATTTTGGTGGTCGTTAATAGTAAATAATAAATGTTGTGTCGTTAGGGCCGTGCTACACGAAAACTCGTGGGCCGGTGTGCCCGCGCTGGAGGGCGGGTCATTAGTCCAGTTTTCTAACAATCCCCTTCTCTCTAGCACGATATATTGTAATGTTGTACCTTATTTTGGTGGTCGTTAATAGTAAATAATAAATGTTGTGTCGTTAGGGCCGTGCTACACGGAGACGCGCGGGCCGGTATGTACGGGAGCGCTGGAAGGCGTGGTATGCACCAAGCAGCTGTGCTGCGCCACCGTCGGCGTCGGCTGGGGACACCCCTGCGAACGCTGCGGAGACCTCGACTGCCCCCACGGACATCTGCGGAACCTCGCCACCAAGGAATGCCAGGTCTCTATCTCACTTTCTCTATCTTTCACTCATACACACTTTCTCTCTCTCTATGTTTGTTACCAAACTGCTTCGAAATGGTATTACAGATTTTTATGAAATTTTGTGTGCGTAGGTCTGAGAATCATCCAACATCTTAATCAATCAATAAACAATTGGTCAATATCTAATATATAAAGTTCTCGTGTCACAGGCTTCGTGTTTACACTCCTTCGAAACAGCTTGACCGATATTGTAAAAAAATTATATGTATATTCAGTAGGTCTGAGAATAATATTTATTTTTTATTATATGGCATTAAAAATACATGTAAGAGTAATTTGTTACCCTTCTAGCATCAACCCCTATTTTTTAATAGCGATTTTAATTTATATGGCAAAATAACGTCTGCTAGGTCAGCTGATAATAATATAATATTCCAAGTAAACAATACATCGATATAACTCACATCCATTGACCGTTTGCAGGACATAGACGAGTGCGCGGCGGTGCCTGGCCTGTGTGCGGGCGGCCGCTGCGTCAACTCAGTGGGTTCGTTCTCGTGCGAGTGCCCGCCCGGACAGCGCCGCCACCACGCCACCAACAACTGCGAGGACGTCGACGAGTGCGAGGACCCTGATATTTGTCCCGTGAGTGGGTTTCTTTATTACGTTGCTGCTACACCGACCACGGCAAAGTACCGTGTATGTACAGTACGCCACTAAGAAGCAGGATATTGTCGATTATATACGACCGAAGAGTAACCTGACGTCATGGCACAAGGCGTTTGTTGTCCGGGTCTACCAACATACTGCTCACCTTCATGAAGGAGGACTACTGGCCGAAGAGTGTGGTGTATGGGCGCTACCGTGGCAGATTGCCGTCGTCAGTGCCATGACCACACAGACTATGTTAATATATTATTTCATATGTATGTTAGTTTATAAGGTATTTATAATATGGGCCTAGTTGCCATAATAAATAAATAAAACTAAATTTGTTACATTTTAACGCTGGTTAATGCGGGAATTAGGTTTCACACAGGAAAGATAAGGCGGGAGTTGGTCCTCAGCCGCTCCATAAGTCCTTCCGTTAGTTTGGAGTGCCACCTGCACTCGATGCAACGGCCAGCTGCGGCCAACAGCATTAGAGTAGTCCGAAAAAAAAAACAGAAGAAATGTGTTAATGTAGACATAGAGAACGAGAAAGACCGCACGCGCATTCTCGCGTTTTGAGTGCGATGAGTCCGATATTTGTCCCGTGAGTTGCTTTCTTTATTAGCTGCCTTTACACGTACGCTCTTTTATACCAGAATCACGCAGGAAAAATAAGGCGGGAGTTGGTCTTCAGCCGCTCCAAGAGTCCTTCCGCGGGTTTGTAGTGCGATCTGCACTTGCCCCCTATCGTCCGGTGAAGCTGTAAAGGCCAGCTGCGGCCAACAGCATTAGATAAGTCCGAAACGCGTATTTCCGTGTCTTGAGTGCGATGACTTTGATATTGTCCCGTGGGTAGCTTTCTTTATTAGCTGCCTTTACACGTACGCTGTTCCACGTGGAAATTGGCTTTCACGCAGGAAAGAATGCGTATGTAATTGTAGAGATAGAGAAGGAACACGAAGGCACCAACTCGCGCTTCTACCTTTTGATGCGGTTTATATTATAATGATGACAAGGTTTATATGTATGTACAATGTACATATACTAGATGAATAGTTCTACGATCTCCGTCAGGTAAACTGGCCCTCCGTGAGAAGCTGTTTTGCTAGTTAGCATATAGGAGGTATGGTTAGTTGAAATGTATTTTTGTTCCGTTTCAGAACGGAAAATGTGTGAATACAGAAGGCGACTACTATTGCCTCTGTAACCCGCACTTCATTCCGAGTCCAGATAAGAAATTTTGTATTGGTGAGTTTTATTCTTAAATCAATAGGTCATTTTAATACTTTAGCAGGATTGTGACATTATTACATACAAAAAATAGGTTTATTTTCTTTTTCATTCAGATTATTATTATACTTGTTTTTATTTAGTATATCATCTTGATTATGAGTATATATGGTATTCTGTACTATTCATAAATATATGTAAAAAATGTTTAACTGTTCGTATGTTTGTATCAATTTTTGTTACTTATAAGAAGTCTTTTTAGATTATTAAGAATATAATATTATGTATGTTTTGTATAAAAGCAAGCAAAATGAAGTATCAACTGATATTAGTAACTACTCCACTAGTTGGTGGTGTATTTATTATTTTGCCACGTTCCACGATCTTCTATACTCTTTAAACCTTAATACGACACGACTCCAATTCTGTCTTTCGTTTGCTTGAATAATAACCCTCAATAATGACTTCCATAACTTCATCGTGCTGTATTCAATAATTTTATGTACATTTTATTAGTCCATTATCATCTGTAATATACAGACAACATCGTATTATAACAACAATATGTATGTCTGTTTGTGAGCGATGTTGATGATGTAACGTTGGTGTTCCGTCAGATGGGCGCGTGCGCATGTGCTTCTCGTACCTGAGTGAGACGGGCGAGTGTGCGGACCCGTTGGCGATGCCGCTGTCGAACCGTGACTGTTGCTGCGGGTACAACATGGGTCGTGCTTGGGGCGACGTCTGCACGCCCTGCCCGCCCAGGGGCTCCGGTACTGTACACCTTTATTTCAAACATACTTTATATTATAAACACGAAATTCTGGGTACAATATGGGCTGCGCCTGGGGCGACGTCTGCACGCCCTGCCCGCCCAGGGGCTTCGGTATTATACACCTTTATATCATACATACTTAATGTTATAAACACTAAATTCTGGGTACAACATGGGCCGCGCCTGGGGCGACGTCTGCACGTCCTGCCCGCCCGGGGCTCTGGTACTATACACCTTTATATCACACATACTTAATGTTATAAACACTAAATTCTGGGTACAACATGGGCCGCGCCTGGGGCGACTCTACACGCCGTGCCCGCTCATATTCTTATTTTGTAGCATTAAAATACATATAACTCTAAATTTTCACCCTTCAGTCGTCAACCCCTATTTTTTAATAGCGATATTAATTTATATCCCAAAACAACGTTTGCCGGATTAGCTAGTTTATTAGCTATATAACTACAATGTCCGTCTGTTTATACCGTTTTATAATTAAACAGCTGAATTGATCTTATTCTGTGATGTGAAGATAAATTGTGTTAAGAGAACGACTTATACATATATAGGAATGTTTATCTAAAAAAATGTCCGATCGATCCCCCGTCCAATTGAAACGGAGACCGATATTACGACGGCCTGAGCCGAGGTTCGAACCCCTAGCGGTGCCCTCAGACTAAAGTCGTGTCCTTCACGGTGCCTTCAGCTCCTAAAGTCGTATCCGTCAGTTTTTCACAGGTCTAAAAAACTGTTATCAAATATAAGTTGTATCTATGAATGGAAGGTTCTCCTAAATTCTAAATATATATTTCGTGTTCTGGTGTGTCATGAGCTTTATTTAAAATATGCTTTATATATCACATTTATATTTTATCACAATTCTAATGCGACGATAACGCCGCAAGGTACTACAGTTCGCCATATATCTGACTGGGGATTGAACAGAGATAGTAGTTTCTTTGTGCGCAGTGCCACGTTGTTAATTAAATATGTAATTCAATATTTCTGTATTAACACATATGTATTGTGTGTGTGTGTGCATTATAAGCGGTAGAATAAAAAAAAACTTGACATTCCTTATACAAGTTTATTTGAATAAAGATTATTTCTATTTCTAAAACGGGTAGAATATGAGGCGAACGAGTTTGCGCGGGTATTACGTGAGTCCCAGCCGTAGGAGTTAAAATAACCGATTTAATTTTTAATATATTTAAATTAAAATAAAATATTACAAATTATAAAATAAGGCTAATAATAATCTTCGAAAATGGTACCGAATTGAATTAACAAATTTTCCATTTGAATACTAAACCTCGATGACCTCGGTGGTCAAGCGGTCTAGCACACCGCTTTACGTTCGATGGTTGCGGGTTGGATTCCTCTCACGGCACAAACATTTGTATTCATGAGTATGATTGTTTGTATCGGTCTGGGTGTTTTCTATATATAATATGTATGTATTTACAAAAGAAAAAAAACTATATATCTAGTACCCATAACACAACCTTTGGCTAGCTTAATTTGGGTCTAGATGGCGCTGTGTGAATTGTTCTGAGATTATTATTATTTTTATTAAGCCGCGTAAACACTACACTAGGTGTCAAATCAGCAGTTCCCTAGCGCGGTGGCGCAACTAAGATGTGGAGCGCTGACTCGTCATTTCTGATGTATGACGAGCACATGGGCACAAAGTACAGTGCTGTGCTCCTCACCAGCAATTTCCCTATAACAATAGCTATAAAACGGGTGAATAATAAATTTTCTTTTGAATGAACAGACGAATGGACGCATCTGTGCGGCGGTGGTATCATCCCGCCTATCTGGCGACGCAACCAGACCGTCAACGGCGATGGCGACGAGGATGATGGTGACATCAACGGCAGCGGCGGTGAGGGTGGTAGCGAGGGAGGGGGAGGGAGAGGGTCGGGGGGTGGGGGAGGTAACGGCGGCGGCGGCTCCAAGCCGCCACCCCCGCTCGCCAAGATCAATGAGTGCATGCTGCGGGCCGGCATCTGTGAACTTGGAGATTGCATTGACAAGGATGTGGGGTGTGTAACTTTATTTTATACTAGCTGTACACGCGACTTCGTCCGCGTGGAATTTAACTTTATTTTTCTGAAATATGTGGGGTGTGTAACTTTATTTTATATAAGCTGTACACGCGACTTCGTCCGCGTGGAATTTAACTTCATTTTTCTGAAATAAAAGTAGTCTAAGTTACTACTTATTATATCAGATACTTACTAAAAAAAGTCCCGTCAAATTCGGTCCAGCCATTTTGATTAAGCTTTGGTATGCTAGGTCTATGTACAACAAAGATCTGCAGATTTTTCCAAACTGAAGAGGATCACATCACTACACATCCTATGTGGGTGTAGCCCACTCATGCATAAACGTAATATCTCCTTTGGAAAGTTTACTCCTCTTTCCTGAGGAGATAAAAACCATCGCACCTAAGAATATCCTACAATTCTTGTCCCTGACGGGTCTAGGTGGTGAACTTTGAAAAGGGCGAGCATAATCTATGTAAGTCGCAGTGCTACAGATCCATGCATCTGACAATAGCCTAAATAATCCAATAAAAAAAACTGTTGATTTCTAATAAATAATATTGTTAAAAAACTGTTTGCAGTTACCGTTGCGACTGCTGGAACGGCACGCAGGAGATCAAGAACGAGATGGGGATTCCGAGCTGCATAGATATCGACGAGTGCGCGCTCGGCTTTTGCCGCGGCGGGACTTGCATCAACAAGCCCAGTTCATTTGAGTGCAGGTATGATTGTCACCAGGGATCTTATGGATATGAAATTTCGGATACGGATAAGTTTCGGATAAAGGAGTGATTATTATAGCGGATACGGATACAGATGCGGTTATGACATTATTTTGGATCATCCGTTAGTTTCGGATAATTTCGGTTACGGATATTAATTTTTTAAGGAATTTTAAAAGTAATAAAATCTACATATTTATAACTCAAAGGTGACTGACATAGTGATCTATCAACGCACAGCCCAAACCACTGGACGGATCGGGCTAAAATTTGGCATGCAGGTAGATGTTATGACGTAGGCATCCGCTAAGAAAGGATTTTGATTAATTCAATCCCCAAGGGTATAAAATAGGGGTTGAAGTTTGTATGAAACTTTGCCAATTTTAAACCGATCGGGCTGAGACTTTGCGTGCATAAAGCTACTATGACGTAGGCATCCCCTAAGAAAGGATTTTGATAAATTCCACCTCTAAGGGGATAAATCCCCCTATTCACAAACGAAGCCGCGGGCAAAAGCTAGTGGTTACATAACGTGTCTCAATTAGGCTCCGCTACTATCCGATACTATCTGAAACTTTTATTTCGGATTCGGGTATGGTTACAAATATTTTTTTATATCGATATCCGATAGTTTTTGGTTACGGAGCTCCCTAACCTCCCTGATCAACACATATATTGTTTTTTTACATTCTAATTGTAGCGTTAGAATAAATTTTTAAAGTTTTAAAGATTTAAGCATATATTGGGATAGACAGCGACAGCGACTTTGTTTTATACTATGTAATGTTTATATATTTGACAGATGCCCGCCTGGTTTTGATCCGGTGGACAACGGCAAACGGTGTAGCGACCAGAACGAATGCGAAATGACCAATGGAGGCATGTGCACCAACGGTGTTTGCAATAAAGGAGAAGACGGGTGAGTGATGTGCATACTATGTATGTATTGATATATGTATTGATCTCATCATATATACATCATCATCATGAAAAAATAAAAAATAAGGAGTTGTGTGTCAAAGTTTCACATTTTGATTGTTACATTCTATTTTTGAATTATCAATAAAGAAATATAACTATTCAAAGTTTACTTTTTACCGATAATTTAAAAATAGAATCAAGTATTTATTCGATTCACAGGTTGAATATTACATTCTATTTTTGAATAAAATAAATAAAAATTTATGTCTATTCAAAGTATACTTTTGGACTGATAATTCAAAAATAGAATCAAGTATTTATTTGATTATTATATTATTCGTTACATTCTATTTTTGAATTATCAATGAAAAAAATAGGACTATCCAAAAGTATTTTTTAAAATTATAATTAAAAAATAGAATAGAGAATTTATTTGAATAAAGATTATTTCTATTTCTATTAGTCTAATTTCAATATATTATAAATATTCGAATAAGATGTTTCATTAATGGATTGATTGATTAAGTTGGTTGGTTGGTTGATTCAGTTGGTTGCTATAAAATCAAATACAAGTAACTTGTCGTACACTACAGGTATACAATTAGGGGCTACACCCACTATACTTATAATTATGATTCGATTACTGAACGAATTAATGGTGAGAGTGTCGTACCTTAATGGTATACTAACTGAATTACTGACCTGAGGTAGTTCAATTCTGGCAGACAAAATATTATAAAAATTGTGGAATAAAAATATATTACCTTCTTCTAAATACAATTAAACTTATGCTGGACGCATAGAGAGGATAATTATCATGTTTACTAATAACAAATGCTACTAATCACTGATGTAACTATTGTTAGGGTTCCCATCGATATTGTCGAAAAATCTGATATTTTATATTAAAAGAAGGTAGTTTCATTATTTCTCGGTATCGTTAAACTAGTTGCATATAACCCCCACTCATATCTTCTCTGTATAAAAGGGAGGGTTTTTGTAGGCCGCGGCATTCGGTCTTTGAGCACAGGATGTGCTGTACATAGAGTTGATATATCTAACACTATGTACTAACTTAGTACTGTAAAAGTTACTATTTGTACGGAAACGTTTTGTAAACGTCATTCAAAGCTTTAAAACTGATATTTTAAAATAAAAGTTTCCGATTAAACAAATCGGTATCGCAGGTACACCACTACTCCGCTATAGGTGGTAACATTATTTGAAAATTTGACATTTACACCTGTCGATTTAGTATCCGGGATTAAAAAGCAGAGTATACCTAATTGGTGCGTGTTTGCGCACAGGTACGAGTGCGAATGCGACCCCGGGTTCGAGCCGACGGAGACGCGGCACGCGTGCCGCGACGTGGACGAGTGCGCCGAGCGTGCGGGCGTGTGCGGGCGCGGGCGGTGCCGCAACACGCCCGGCGGGTACGAGTGCCAGTGCGAGCGCGGCTTCCAGCCCAGCGCCGGCGGGTACTGCGCCGACTACGACGAGTGCGAGGACAAGTCGCTCTGTCAGGTACCGCATCCGCCAGTCAACAGTTGCTTTTACATATATTTTACTTTGGAGACGTAGCGTGGGAAGGCCTCCAGAAAGAGGGACCGACGATCTGGTTAAGATCGCTGGAAAGCGATAGATACGAGCAGTTACTTTTACATATAAATAAAAATGGAGTGTCTGTTTGTAATATTAAATTACAGACCAATTTTTTTACTACATGCATATGAATATAAATACGGATATATACATACACCAAAATAACATTTTTTACAATTTTTGTCAATTTTTGTCTGTCTGTCTGTCTGTTTGTTCCGGCTAATCTCTGAATTGGCTGGACTGATTTTGACGAGACTCTTTAGGCAGGAAGCTGAAATAATAAGGAGTAACTTAGGCTACTTTTATTTTAAAAAAAATCTTTTATTTTAGAAAAATAAAGTTACATTTCACGCGGACGAAGTCGCGGGAACAGCTAGTACTAAATAAAAATAGTAAAACTGCTGGGGTGACAGTTTGTACAGTGTTTAGTAGACAATATTTAGTCTGTCTTACAGGCCTTAATTAACTGCAATTTTTACGTAATTGTATTCCATATTATACAATTTCGTCATTACAGAATTTCGTCAGTAAGAACAATTAGTATAACATGGTATGATTGGTTTCAGGGCGGACGGTGTGTGAACGGCGAAGGCTCGTTCCAGTGCGTGTGCGAGGCGGGCTACCGGCCGACGGCCGAGCGCGGCGCGTGCGCGGACGTGGACGAGTGCGCCGAGCAGAACGTGTGCCGCAACGGACGCTGCCACAACTCGGCCGGCTCGTTCCGCTGCCGCTGCCTGCCCGGCTTCACGCTCTCCTCCGACGGCCGTACCTGCCTCGGTACGTATGCATCGCACTTACAGTGCGCTCCCATATACTTGGCTTCACATTCTTCGGCATAATGGGCACTAGTTTCGGTGCGAATTACTCGCACTGACACTGCAGATTGCCCAGATTCAAACTCTACCTCGGTGCGTAGACCTCGGTGCGTAGCGTATACCATACCGTGGTAGAGTTTGTAGTTACTTAGTTAGTACTTCTTGCACTAATGCTTTCACAATGCCTCCACTTAAAAGGTCGGTTGCACGTCTCCGGTACGTGCAGTGTAAGCACACACACTCTCAAATAGCCGTCAACCGGCTTCCTATTCATGGACTACAGCAGCAGATAGGGTATCTGCTGCTGTAGTCCTCAAACTCATAATCACAATATTTTAATAATCACTCACTTGTTATCTTCACCTGACTCTCGCCCTTCGCCTTATACTCAAATTTCACAGATACTTGATAAAATTATTAATTTTATAAAATTTATTGACTTGCAGATGAAGTTCAAGACCTGTGCTACGAGAAATACGAAGAAGACCATTGTACTGGGCCTGGCAAGACTCCGGTCACACGCTCTCAGTGCTGCTGCAGTTCTAGTAAAGGTATTTTTTTTTCATTATTTTAGTATAGTCTATCGTTTAGTTTATTCTTTAAAGAAGTCACATTAATCCACCAGTGTGAAGTTCAGACGAACTTTACACTGGTGGATTTATAGCTTCAACCAAACGATTTAGGGCGTGTACAGATGGTACACTCCAAACCTACGGAAGAACTTATGGTGCGGCTGAAGGCTAACTTCTGTCTAGAGGATATGACTTTACTCTAAGGGCAAACTCATCGGGGGTTCAAATCTCGGCTCAGATCGTCGTAATTCTGAATCCCCATTTGAATTGTACGGGGGATCAATCGGATAGTACTCTCCACTTAATTTAACATTAAACTATGCTGTGTGACTTGTCCAGAATTATTAACTTATTTGATTTTATTATCGCTATAGGTCTACAACTTGGATGGGGTGTATCCTGCAAACCTTGCCCGGAGCAAGGTAGCGAGGAGTACGACGTGCTGTGCCCATCCGGGTCTAGCAAGGACAACAGCGGGTCGGATATCAACGAGTGCACCATGATCCCTGGCATCTGTCCCCACGGCACCTGTGAGAACTTGGAGCCAGGGTACAAGTGCATCTGCGACACTGGCTACCACCCCGACGAGAACGGCATCTGCAGGGATATTGATGAGTGTGACATGCATCAGTCAGTGAGTACATTTTTTCACAACATTGATCAATCAATTTTTTAAGCATTGAAATTGACAGTGACGTATATTTGTTACTCTCACGTGTTGAGTTTTAATATCAATCCGTTTCGTACCACTCTAGTTTCCCTCGAGGCGACTCCAAATAGTATGCCATAAACGCAACATTATTGAACTCTTGTGTTTGAAACATATCGAAGTTCTTTAACGAGAATTCTTGGCATTTCTTTTTTTCACCTTCTTTCAATTGCCAAGCAACTTGCTTTATATGTTTTGGTGTCTTTATATGGTTTAGTGCCCTGGACTTTCAATGCCCATCAAGGGCATTGAAAGTCCAGGGCTCTAAGGTTATAACACTTTCGTAGCAATAAAAACTAGGTATTTGCAAATTTTGTATACTTGAAGAATCCCTACTAAACCTTTAATAATTGCCATCATTAAAGTTTTAGTAGGGATTCTTGCAACTATCTACCGTCTACGTGTCTTTCACTGTGTTCTTTAAGTGTTGATACGAGACGACTCCAGTTTTGTCTTTAATTAGCTTGATGTAGCTGAACCTTGGTCTTTATCTCCGTCTCTTTTCTTCTATTTTTTTCTTAATAATAATTTTCATGTATAGTAAAGTTTGATCAAAATCTGTTCTGTAGTTTTGCGTGAAGAGTAACAAACATCCATAGTCACAAACTTTCGCATTTATAATATTAATAAGATAATATTAGTGTATATTACATGTTATGTTTTGTGCTCTGCAGTATTGTACTGGAGGCCAGTGCCGTAACACACTGGGCAGCTTCACTTGCGTGTGCCCGACGGGTACTAGGTTCGAGCCCGACGAACAGATCTGCCGTGACATTGACGAATGCGAGGGTGAGGTTATTTTCATCGTCAGAGATTATGATGACCGGGGGGACATACCGCCCATGTACCCAGGCATAACAGGTTACCAAACTTTGAGTGAACGAGCATCCAGTAACCGCAGACACCTCATTGGCTTTTAACATTCGGCCAATCGTTCACGGACTGTCCACGCAGGATGACTCACTTTTTGCATAACTTTGCTTTAGTTAAATTTTCGATTATAAAAAAATCAAATTTGTAAAGTACCGCCCATATATATATGATATTTCTCGAGCATAATGTGCTTATATATCACTGTAGATTTTTGTAATCAAAACTGTCAATTGTTAAGTGTATGTTAAGTGTATTGGTTCCAAAATTTTTTCGATAGATATTATATAGAATCTATATAATATCTATCGAAAAAATTTTGGGTTCGAATCGAACCCGCAGCTATCGAAAAAATTTTCGGGTCGCACAGTACAAACATTTGTTATCACGAGTATGATTGTTTGTATAGATCTGGTGTTTTCTATATGTATTATATATGCGTTTACAAAAAATATGTCTAAGTATTTATATCAGTTGTCTAGTACCCATAACACAAGCTCTGCTTAGCTTGGTACTTGATGTCGCTGTGGGATTTTTTTTATGGATGATAATGGAATGGTGCACCCGCCTGCGCTAACGGGTCACCAGTCAGGTCAGGTCAGTTACCCCATCGTGACAAATTCACCAAGAATTTATCACGATGGTTTTTAGAGGGAACCGCGTGGAGGTCACTGACATGGTGCATTGCTAGTAGTGGGGTCATTAGTCCACATTACTAACAATCCCCTTCCATCTTGGCGCTGTGTGAATTATCCTTGGTCTATAATTATAATTTTGACATAGAATAGAAGTATATGTATGCATGATTTGAGTCAACATGCGTGGCCAGTCCAGTCCATGACCAGTGATATCGTGCTTTGGCGTGATGACCACATATATAACAGTTAATGCTGTTCAATCAGTTTGTTTCAACCTATCAATAATGTCAAGCTCACTCAACTCACGCGATTCAATCATTGCACTGCTTTATACTTCATTTTAATTAACTAATGCAATAATATATTAATATTCGAAATGTTTTAATTTGAATATGTTAGCAATGACAACAAATATGCGCACGATAAGTTTTTTTTTCGGACTACTCTAATGCTGTTGGCCGCAGCTGGCCTTTACAGCTTCACCGGACGTTAGGGGGCGAGTGCAGATGGCACTCCGAGCCCGCGGAAGGACTTATAGAGCGGCTGAAGGCCAACCTGCTTGACGGATACGACTTTAGTCTGAGGCCACCACTAGGGGTTCGAACCTCGGCTCAGGCCGTCGTAATATCGATCCCAGTTTGAATTGGACGGGTGATCGATCGGAGACGATAAGAACCGGAGACTAGTTCTTACATAAGTTTTTGAGTAGTTTAATAGGATACTATGTAAAGTTAATATAAATCCAAAAGATATTTTATTGGCGACTCCTTTGGGTACTGGCAGTAAATATATACATATATATAGGAATCTCTAATATTCCATGCTATGTATGCTAAAGTGTAAAAAATGTTATTTTGGTGTATGTACCATATTTATATTCATATGCATGTAGTAAAAAACGACTATTGCAATATTACAAACAGACATTCCAATTTTATTTATATGTATAGATTATAAATTCGTAACCTTAAAATTATGGTATACATTAATTTATTTCTCTATTTCCAAATTGTGTCGCACGCTATCGCTACGCACCGCATTGAGTCGCAACTAATCGCATCGTGTTGCAGAGCAAACGAATCCGTGTGACAACGGTCGCTGTATCAACACGCACGGCAGTTACGAGTGCGAGTGCGAACATGGGTTCGTACTCGATTCTTCTGGACAACACTGTCTCGGTGAGTTTAGTTATTAAATACTGTATTTAGAGTATAGAGATTCATCATTCTTTGATAGTAATAAAACGATAATAAAAGATATGTCACTTTACCTGCCTTTACACGACATGTTCTTTCACGCGTAAATCAGATTTCATGCAGGAAAGAATGAGAATGTAAATGTAGACAAAGAGAACAAGAAATATCATTCCCGCGTCCTTCAAGAGTGCGTGCTTTAGTGCCTTTTTGTAACATAAAATTGTCATTGGACAGTGGCGCATAAATGACTATGGAGCACATAATTATAGAGGAAACATATGTACAATCACGCGCCAAAGGCTGATCACTAAATTATAAATAATTGACTGCAATCACTCACATTTCCGCTCGCTGGCTTTCCCGTGCTGATCGCGCTATTAGGAATGCGCGCCTTAGGATTGTGTTTAACAAAGATTTGCAGATTTTGCCAAATGGAAGAGGAAACGCCAATACACATAATATATATACTCATAATAATACCTATGTGGTTGTAGCCCACTCATGCATAAACGAAATATCCTTTGAAAAGTACAAACTCTATGCTGAGGAGATAAAAACCAGCACTCCTAGGGATATCCTTCAATTCTTGTCTTGGGCTTGGGCATCGAATTCAACAGATGAGTACAATAGATCTATGCAGGTGTTATACAGGCTTCTTTACCACTTTTTGAGCAGATGCTACTCAGGTTTCATTGTCACCTAGGAATAGCCAAATCCCTTAACAATATAAAAAAAAATGTTTTGAAATGGAGAACGTAAGTGATGGGATGCGTGCGCAGATAACCGGCGGGGCTCGTGCTGGCGGCGCGTGGTGGATGGGCGGTGCGAGGCGGGCAGCACGCAGCCCCTGCTGCGGCAGGAGTGCTGCTGCAGCGTGGGACTCGCCTGGGGCTCCCCGTGCGACGCCTGCGAGCCCGACCACTGCCCCTGCCGCAAGGGGTTCGCTAAGGTGCGCTGAACTACTTCGTGCTACATTTGATTAAATTTTAAGTAATTCAATAGTGTTTCTTGCCAGTTCATCTCAATTGGATCTATATACTGAACTGGACGGTAGGCAAAAATTATAATATAAAAAAATTTTCGTTCATAATTGACTGAAATGTCCTACTTGAATAAATGCTTTTTTAATTTGAATTTGATATTTGATTAAATTTGCGGGCTCGGTTGTTTAGCATAGCCGACCGCCTTACCACCGATTCAGGGGTTCGATTCCTCACACGGTATAAGCTTCGTATTCATGAGTATGATTGTTTGTATCAGTCTAGGTGACTTTTATGTATGTATTTATAAAAAAAATATATATCTAAGCATACATAAAAACGGCCAGATTCAAACAATCAAATGTTTGTACTGTGCGAGTAATCGAATCCGCAATTATCGGAAGTGTGAATAAAGTGACCCACTATAGCACCTAGGTTATTTTTTTCTAAACAAGTTAATGACACGGATTGTTTGTCTGTCTGTGATGGCTGTAGTTCGACGGCACGTCATGCCGCGACGTGGACGAGTGCAAGCTGGTGCCTGACCTTTGCGTGGGCGGCAAGTGCGTCAACACCGATGGCTCCTACCACTGCGAGTGCCCCCACGGTCTCACACTTGACTCCACCGGTGAGTTCTATAATGATTTCTAAGTAATTGGTTTGTAATTTGATGAAAACTTAACTCGGATAGAGATGTAGCGCGGTGGTTATTTTCAACATTGTAGCGTAATGAAGTGGCGCTACTTAATATATTATTTATTGTAGTTTCTAGGTAGTGAGAATACTGGTAAAATTACTATACATTATTAAGTTTATTGGTAGTGTGCTACATGGCTTATTAATAACGAGTACATTCGACGCGGAGTCGTAACGTGGACTGCTTCAACATTTAACTTAAATCTATATTAGTGGAGACGTAAACTAATGGAAGGGTATCAAGTGTTGACAGAAACCGTGAAAGTACTAGGATAAAAGATCTGCAGTCCCAAATAGTTCCTAAATTCACGTTTCGACTTGTAAAATGTGAACTTACAAGGATTGTTTAAAAGAGCAACACACAAGTTTCATGCTTATTCTTCTTGTGATGAGACAGCTTTCCGAATAAGCGGTAGATTTAAAAAAATGTTGACTATTCAAAAGTGCTTTAAATTAAGTTTATTTATGATATATAATAAATGATTCTATTCTATTCTATTCACAATAGTTACAGACAAACCTACGAAATATCAATCTATAAAATTGTTTAATAATTTACCAATACATTTAAAAACTGTTTATAATTTCACATTGTTGACTAGATTGAGGACATTTTTATTGAATACTAGCTACTCGCCCCGGCTTCGCACGGGTGTACATGTATTATATATATAAACTTTCCTTTTGAATCAGTCTATCTATTAAAAAAAACCTGCTTCAAAATCCGTTGCGTAGTTTTAAAGATTTAACATAGGGACGGACAGACAGCGACAGCGACTTTGTTTTGTACTATGTAATGAAGTGTTACTATTCCGTAGATGACTCTTATAATGATTACCATAGAGACTTATAAGGACCTATTGTACTATGCTAGCTGATATACCGAGATTACTGCATAAGTTGCTATTATGTTGTTGACGAAAATTTTCTGTAACTACTAAATATTACGTTATCCTAAATAATTTGTATTGTTTTGTATTTACAAATAATTGACGAGCTCTCTGAGATCTAATCCGAGTTCACCTGTCATCCGTTTATAGCGCCTGTACAGGAACCTCGCAGAGAAAATTCCAAAACTCATTGTTTTCCTTAACAGTCACTTTGTTTATGACTAAACTAAAAAAAATACCATCCCTGTCACTGTTATAGTTATGTTTTATTGAATTAATATTGACAACATTGAACATTAGTTATTTTACATATGTGTAATGACTCTCTCCATCAGTTGCCCTGTCATATTTATATTCCAGTTATATAGAAAAAGTATCGTAAACTAACTAGGATATGTAAGGCAATTGTGTGTACGTATGGCAGGAAACAAGTGCTTGGACACACGACGCGAGGCCTGCTACTCGGAGTACGTCGGCGGGCGCTGCTCGGGCGAGCTGCCGGAGGTGGTGCACCGCGCCGTCTGCTGCTGCTCCGCCGTCGGCCGCGCCTGGGGCGACGCGCGCTGCGAGCCCTGCCCCAAGCGAGGTGAGTCTCCTGCGAGCCCTGCCCCAAGCGAGTTGAGTCTGTTGCGAGCCCTGCCCCAAGCGAGGTGAGTCTGTTGCGAGCCCTGCCCCAAGCGAGGTGAGTCTCCTGAGAGCCCTGCCGCAAGCGAGGTGGGCTCCTGCGAGTCTTGCCCCAAGCGAGGTGAGTCTCCTGCGAGCCCTGCCCCAAGCGAGGTGAGTCTCCTGCGAGCCCTGTCCCAAGCGAGTTGAGTCTCCTGCAAGCCCTGCCCCAAGCGAGGTGAGTCTCCTGCGAGCCCTGCCTCAAGCGAGTTGAGTCTGTTGCGAGCCCTGCCCCAAGCGAGGTGAGTCTCCTGAGAGCCCTGCCGCAAGCGAGGTGGGCTCCTGCGAGTCTTGCCCCAAGCGAGGTGAGTCTGCTGCGAACCCCTGAAGTTGTGTCCGTCAGATGTCAGAGTTGACCTTCAGCTGCTTTATGTCCTCTCGTCGATTTGGAGAGCCTTGATGTTGTGGGGACAAGTTCAGCCAAAAAAGCCAGCTACGGCCAACAACATCAGAATAGTTAAATCAAAAGATAAGGACGGCCTCGGTGATCTAGTGGTTTAGCATGCCCCCTTACTTCCAATGGTCGCGGGTTCGATTCCTCGCACGGTACAAACATTTGTATTTATGAGTATGATTGTTTGTCGGTCTGGGTATTACAGAATCCTTACAGAAAAAATATATTTATGTACTTGTATCAGTTGTCTAGTATCCATAACACAAGCTTTAGATAGTTTAACTTGGGTCTAGATGGCGCTGTGTGTTTTTTATTTATGGATGATAATGGAATGATGCACCTGCCTGCGCTAACGGTTTACGCTGGCGGGGCACCAGTGGAGGATGATAAGACGGACATGAGATCAGGTTAGTGTAAGAGTAGCACATTGTGATAAATTCACCAGAAATTTATCACGATGGTTTCCAGGGGGAACCGCGTGCAGGTCAACCTGACATGGTACATTGCTACCAATAGGGTCATGAGTCCACATTACTAACAATCCGCTTCCCCCCAACGCGCTGTGTGAATTGCTTTGATATTATTATAATTTTCAGGTACGGATGCGTTCCGCAATTTGTGTTCAACGAATGTCGGGACCGATATTCCTGGCTTAAGGCCCCCACACGGAGGCAACGGGTCGTACACACCTGAACACGGAGGTCACGACCACAATGGGGACATGGGGACCGATTTCAACCCTGGACACATGGAGGTCAACGAGTGTTCAGCTTTTCCTGGACTATGTGGTCACGGACGGTGCAGGAATTTGATGGGATCGTTTACTTGCGACTGTTACCGGGGATACGAAAAGGCAAGTTCTATTTAGATGTAATATTGACTGAGAAACTCGATTAGTTCTTGGTGTTAAGCGTTGAGTTGTGAAGATCCCTGTTTAGGAAATATTTTTTTATCTCTACTAATATTATGAAGCTGAGGAGTTTGTTTGTTTGAACGCGCTAATCTCAGGAACTACTGGTTCGAATTGAAATTATTTTTTTGTGTTGGATAGTCCATTTGTCGAGGAAGGCTTTAAGCTATATAATATTACACTACGACCAATAGAAACGGAGTTGAATGAAAAATATTGCAAATGGTGGGGAAATGAAATGTAGATGAAGGTGCGCGGTCAGCTAGTATAAAATATTCTTGTGACATCATTCAGAATGAGCGGTAGATTAAAAAAATTTGTTATGACTATTCAAAAGTGCTTAAATTAAGTTTATTTGAATAAAGGTTTTTTATTCTATTCAATTTATTCATGTAGCGTAGTAGTAGTAGAGGCACCGATAGCTAAATGAATCGTAGAGTTAACGATAAACTTGCCCTCTAGTTTATCGTTAACTCTACGATTCATTTAGCTATCGGTGCCTCTATCACAGGAGTCAATCAGAAAAACGACAATGTGATTATATTTAATCAAATTAGGTCTTATCTTGCGGCGAAATGGACTTCATTTCACTACTTGATTGATATATATTATTTTTTTTAATTCCGCTACAATTAGCATGTGTGAAAACACAAATATTTGGTATGGAAACTAGACTATCGTTACGACCTTCTCTAATGGCTATCAAATTCCGACCGTTAATGAGTCTACACTCATATTGCGACATGTGTTGTAGTTGTAGCGGAATTATATAAAATAATATAGATCCTGAGTTATAGACCGTTTTGTCTCCTTCATTACTTTTAAATTTTATCATTGTATGGGTAACAATTGTATTAGTTTTTGTATGAGACAAATTAAGATGATTATTATTATTTACACTAAGTTTGATGCCTTTGCTGGTTTCCTTATTATTATTATTATAGATCCATCAAGTACTTAATATGATTATCTGTTGCAAGAATTGGGCTTACGAGTTTTTTTTACATTGACTCCCTTTTTTATTTAGTTTAGCTGTATTCTTAAATATGATGTTTTGTACAGGGTCCGAAGAACCAAAGTTGTGTGGATGTGAATGAGTGCGAGATTGTGAACGACATTTGTGGAGCGGGCGATTGTACGAATACAGAGGGCAGCTTCACGTGCCGCTGTCACCCGGGTCACAAGTCCGGCGAGGTCTCCAAGGTCTGCGTTGGTGAGTTCATATTTATTTATTTTCATTATCTTTTATTAGGATGATATAAGAATAGTGGCGGGACCAACTTGGAGAAGGAAAGCGTTGGACAGAGGAACCTGGAGTCTTTTGGAGGAGGGCTATGTCTGAGGACAAGCTGATGAACCTGGGCAGGGAAATAATAAAAAAAACAAAACCAACTCTAACTTAGCATTACCACAAAAGCCATAAATAAATTTATATTTTATTGCACTATCTAAAATAATGTAAAATTGGCGAGCTTAATGCCATATGGCATTCTCTACCAGCTAACCATTGCGTAAAAACAGAGAGCGGTTGAAGGGCTGCAAATGGTAAAGACATACTATTTATATTTACCAAACTTAGTTCTTTAGAACTAATAATAATACTTTATTTGCCAAATGTAGGTAAACAATAAGGTGTTAAAAATATGTTGTTGAGATCCGTACATTAACTTCGTGAGAGGTGTGCAAAATTTCAAATTGTAGGTACAATTAATGTTTAATTAAATAAAATCACTGTACTACGTCATCATACCGATAGTCATTAATCAATTGTCTTTACGTCAATGTATCAGTCAGGAAATCTCCAACCGTGTAGTAAGTTATACCAATCAGTATATTTCTAAGAGCAGTTTTAAATTGATGGATACTACCAATAGATTTTAATGCCCTTGGAAGATTATTATATATTCTAGGTCCCATTCCTAAAATACTATTACACGACATAGCAGTTTTAGCCGGAAAATTACACAATTTATCATTGAGTAAGGAGTCATGCTTGTAATGCTATTGCTGTACCTGACTTATCAAACCGAAAGTTATCTCACAAAGCAAGGTACGTAGCGCCTGAAATAGGAGAGATAGGTATCCCCGGAGGAGTCATTCTAAAAAATATGTTTCAGTAAAAGTTTCGAGGTATTGATATCTGTTGATTGTGTTAAGGCTGCTTATAGTTAGCCTTGGGAGAAGTGGAATTTTGTTTTGACAGTCCGTTTTAAATAAAACGATTTTTTTTTGAAATTTAAATAAAACAACGTCTCTCTAAGGTTGTATTTTAGTGACTGATTGAAACATACTTAACAGTGACCGACCGGCAGATACATAAACAACTATAGCTATGGTCCGGTATAGACAAACCAATATTTTTTTTCTGCAGATATCGACGAATGCGAGGAAACACCAAGCCTATGCCGTGGCGGACGTTGTATCAATACTCCTGGCTCGTTCCGATGCGAGTGTGGCGACGGTATGGAACTTTCAGCTGACCGGCTCTCCTGCAAGGACGTTGATGAATGCTCCATCACTTCCGGTGAGTACTATTGCTCTACTGTATCTCTTAATTTTATAATGAATGGAATAAAACAAATATTATGCCAAATGTACATAGCTATGTTAGCATCGTACATTATTTTGTAACACTAAAATTTTAACTTTACATTTCATATTTCATTTAAAACCCGAAATTTGGTCCCTCTAGCCGGATCTGAACCAGCGACCTATGGATTTTCGAGTTATACCGAAACTATAAAGATTCTGATAGGTAAATCTGATAAATGATACAGATAGAAACTTGATTAAAACTGTATATTGAAATCTAAAATGTAACTGATTAATGATTGAAATTAGTACGTGCGGCGTTCTTGATGACCAAATGCGGACTGATTTTAAATGAAATATGAAATGTAAAATAAAATGTTTTTGTTGCGAAATAATCTACGATGCTAGCTTATACAGTATGTAAGTGCATCCACGGAGACAATTTTTTACAGTCTACCTCTGGTAAACGTATCCGTATACGGAATATCCTTTGAGCGTATTCTGCCAACAATAACTATATCTATTGGTGGTATGTATGTGTGTACGTGTCAGGTATCTGCAGTAACGGTGCGTGCGAGAACCAGATGGGCACGTACCAGTGCGTGTGCGACGAGGGCTACGCGCAGTCCACCGTCAAATCGCACTGCGAAGACATTGACGAGTGCACTGAGGACCCCACGCGCTGTCAGCACGAGTGCATCAACACGCCCGGCTCCTACCACTGCAAGTGCAGGTTGTATTACCATTACGTTTTCTTTTATAAATACAGACAATAATTTTGGAGCAGAAGGTCGTCAGTCAAATCTGGGCGATACTGAAAAACTATGCGTAAAGGTGGTGGAAATATCAATATAAGCCAAACTAAGTAAATAAGTAAGAATATCCAATGGTGGTATATTGTATTACGTTCACCAAGATGTCGATAGTTGACAATGTCTCTCACTACAACTAGGTAACATTGGTGAAGTTATTAATAAATACATCTATATTAAGGGATTCTTCAATGTGTTTAAATATCCATTTGCTGAACTCTAAAACTTCCATGTAAAAATATATTATTTAAAAATGTCGTCCATCAAGGCTCAATTCTAGGCCCCGTACTATTTACGTTTAGGAAAAGCTTTTTATTCTTGGATGATGATAGATTTTGGTTGGTAATGATGATTTGGATGGACTAACTATGCGTGTTTAATTGTAGATACAGATTCTCAATGAATCTTAAACCGATTTATGGCTAAATGGTATTGAATTGGATCTAGATAGAAAATCTCATTTAAGAGAATAACTACAATTACATTCAGATAAATACTATAACGTATTTTCGATGCATCTGGCTTTGTAGTTTTGCATATCAATATTATCATATGATACTTTTGTTAATTAAAATTACGGGGGTCAAGAATCATAAGAGGGATTAGAAGACTAAGGTTTGCATGTGACCGCGCAGAGAGGGGTGGCACCTGCGCGCGGACGGGCGCACGTGTCGCGACGTGGACGAGTGCGGCCGCGGGGCGAGACCCTGCGGCGGCGGCACCTGTCGCAACACGCCCGGCGGGTACCGCTGCACCTGCGGCCCGGGGCTGCTGCCCGCGCCCGACGCGCCCGCCTCGCGCCCCACCTGCCGCGACGTGGACGAGTGCGCCGACGTACGTACCCGCACACTACACACTACACTACACATCCACAATATACTATACCATAATAGACGAGTCAATGCTCTCATTGCAGATTACAGTGCCACACAGTTTGCAGCTGTTAAGAATAATTGTCATAAAGCGGTGGTACTCCACAAATATATATAAAGAAGGATGATTATTGTGACCATTAATTGTGGTTTTAATCAGATCTAATTATCAGATTCCAGACCTGTGTGGAGCTGGCGAGTGCCACAACACTATCGGCAGCTTCGTGTGCATGTGCCCCGATGGCTACAGCGTGAAACCTGAGGCGGGCCCGGCCTGCACTGACGACGACGAATGCGAACTAGGCACCTGCGACTGTCATCCGTCTGCTGACTGCATTAACATACCGGTTAGATGCTCATTTTTTATGTAACTATAATGGCAGAGGAGCTGACGGCCCACGCGATGGTAGGCGCGAATTGTGGTCCATAATAATAGTAATAATAACCCAGGAAAATTTAATAGTGTCATCTAGTACTAAGCTAAGTGGAGCTTGTTATGGGTACTAAACGATTGATAGAATTATTTACAATTTTTTTTGTAAATACATATAAGGTACAAAGTTTTTGCCTCACATACGTGTGGAAGTATGGTTGTACTTTGTGAGAGTATTGTGGCTGACATTGGTCACCCGTGAGGGTTAAGGTTTAGGCCTCCGGGTGAACTTTACCCCGGCATCACCTCCGGCGGCGAAAACTCTTAATTGGATTTATAAGTCTCTAAGAGCGGGTTATTAAAATACGAACTTAAGCTAGGGGTTCAATCGATTACTGCAAAAACATATGGGAAGTAGGAACCAGGTGATTGTACAACAGGACGCGCAACTGCAGATTTGCCAAATTAAATAAAACTTAACCTAACTAAGAAATAACTCTTTGGTAAAAAAACAATGTCTGATTGAGTACGCGTGCAGGGCTCGTAGTAGTGTTTTTAGTTTGCTCCACATGTGAGAGCTATATCTAAATGGGATTGTAGATTATTCTCATGGTCTTACCATGTAACATATTGTTTTTATCGACATCTAAGATGTAATATTTTCGACATCGGCTCTTACCATGTCAGATATCGTATGGGCTTTTGTGTAAAATGACTGCAAGAATCATCAGGGTTCCAGTTTGCCGCTGCCGGGACGGGTGGCGCGGCGACGGTAGCGAGTGCGAGGACGTGGACGAGTGCGTCACCAACAACGGCGGCTGCCACCCGCGCGCCACCTGCCGCAACACCGACGGCTCCTTCCTCTGCCTCTGCGACACCGGCTACAAGGGTGACGGGTCAGTAATTCTCCTTCTTTTAACCACTGCACTCATTTTTCATTTCCCATCTGCCGGACCTCTTCACCTCAATTTTTATTTCTTGTTTCCTAGATATAAAGAAGGATGAAATTGTGACCATTTTTTTTTAAAGTCTGTATCTGTAGACTCTGTCGGCCGATGGCTACAGCGTGAAAAGATAAACCTGGTTTACGACGAGTAATAAACCATTCACCAATGTATTCCTTATTACAAAATGAATTTTTTATGTCTAAATCGTGATGGACGGTCTATGGTAGAATTGTGGTCCATAATAATAGTCAGATAGTTTAACAGTGGTCTAAATGAAAAAGTCAAACTCGATTTTAAAAATTGTATTGTAAGTTGTTGTTTTTCGAAAAATATTTTAACTAAATTAAAAATATATTAACTAAAAATATTTGGCTAATTTTATGATAATAAAAATATATAAAAGACGTTATTGGATTTATTTTTTCACCATTTAAATACGAAATAGCTAGCCATTCGAATCGATAGTAAATAAAAATATCCTGCCGCACTGCTGTTCCTTTTCACCGTATATCTCCTATTTGTAATTTAATAAGATGATTATTTCTATGTAATATTGTACATTAACAAATATAATATATTAATGAAATCGTTATAACCGAAGACATAGATAAAGGTAGAAATAAATTTATTAAACAAAACTTTTAGTTTATACATTTTTATTTCAGTAATATTATTTTTGATCTTTTCATATTTTTGGTAAAACGGAACCTAACAGACATGAGTGTGATTTCTTCATACAGATAATGAACGATTTAACTGTAGTGCCGCTGCCGGGACTAAGCGCGTCCTCACGATTCGTAATAATGTTAGGCTCCTTTCTTCCAAGTATTGACTTCAGGAATGGTTTAAACCACGACCATTTAGACCACGTTTCGTCCGAGTTTTAAAAGTGTGACATTTTTATTAAGTAAAAATTCTTATCTGTAGACTCTGTTTGTCTACGAATAAGTCACCGTTTTTCATAAGTAGCGAATAATCACTGTTCATTTTTAATTCAGAACTCTGTTATATCACTTCATCTGTCCTGTAAATTGTCGACTCCATATGTACTTATCATCATTATCTCTACCTATATATAACATAGGAATTCTACAAGAAATATCTGATGTATTTTATTGAATTAGATGCTATTTTGCGGAAGTCCATTTCCTTACTTAGATTTCTATTATTTTGTTTCTTTATTAGCTTGTTGTAACAACAGAGCGGAAATTTGACTACCGCTACTGGAAGCGTTATGAGCTTCTCTAATAGCGATCAAATTCCGACCGTTTTGATTCTACTACATCAGTTCAGTCATAGTCTAATCACCTAAGATTGTGCATTAGATTTCCAAATTATATCCGATCTCTATTTATTTGCTGATGATACCTCGTTCAAAGGGAAACACGTGTCGCAGTAAGGGTTTACATCAAATATAGGTCGGAATTTGATCACTAATAAAGAAATCTGTGACGCTTCCAGAATTTCAGCAGCATCTTCGCAGAAATTCCAGCAGCAAGTGGTCACATTTAAACCCTGATTTCAAAATTCAAAATTCAAAATATCTTTATTCATGTAGGTCTATTACAGACTCTTATGATATGTCAAATCTACCGTGAGTTCGGAATGATATCGATGAATGATAGATGAGAAGAACTGACAAGAAACTCAGCTCGTATTTTTTTCAAATAATAGTGGAACATGTTTATAATAATATACAGTCATTAAAATTCAAATTTGGGAGAATAGAGTGACCACCAGCATATGCTATCGCAAAGAACAAAAAATTTAATCCGTGTTCACAACCTGAACAGACCAGTCCCCATTATTAGGTTTCACAGATGCTAATGGTAGAGGAATTTAACAAATCTATTAAGTCAATTAATTAAGGAATATGTGATAAACACACAGTGATCGTTTCTATTGGCGATTGTAACTTAAACAAATAGGCGGCAGTGTCACTCCCCTCTTTTACGATAGATTGTGGTGATAACAATCCTACGAATACCCACTTATGGGAAGACTTATGCCAAACAGTGGGATGGTAATATACAAATTGTGATATTTAAACAGATATTCGTGTGTGGACATCGACGAGTGCGCCAACGACCCCACGTTGTGTGAGAACGGACACTGCACCAACACACCCGGTGGCTATGAGTGCGACTGTGATGTGGGCTTCACGAAGTCCGAGGACGGTCGCTCCTGTCTTGGTAAGTTACCATAGTCACTTGTACTTAGTGAAGGCACATAGCTCGTAGGACAGATGGCCGTTGGGGCAGTAAAGTCCTCGAGTGGCGACCACGGACCGGACGCAGCGTGGGAAGGCCTCCAGCAAGGTGGACCGACGAACTGGTCAAGATCACTGGAAGGCATTGGATGCGAGCTGCGCAGGACCGATCATCGTGGAGATCTTTGGGGGAGGCCTATGTCCAGCAGTGGACGTCTTCCGGGCTGCGATGATGATGATGATGATGACTTAGTGAAGAAACTTTAATATACCTTTCTTGCTGTTATCTCTCAAGATTCCTTGGCAGGTAGTTCAATTCACAATTTAAGTGTACGCGGGAGGAAGCTTTTCTGAACCGCACTATCCGTGACTTAGGTTGCAGCGTGTGGGGATGAATTCCCTGTCGATGGCGAGCCGTGCGATGGTAAAAGGTAGCCTTTGAAGGTGGGCATCATGTTGAACAATTCATCTGAACACAGTCCTTAGTAGTAGCAGTGGTAGATCTTAAATTATATGATAAAGAAATCAATACTAAGATTATTATACTTTCTTATTATGTACTAGCTGTGCCCGCGACTTCGTCCGCGTGGAATTTAATATTATATATCTAAAATAAAAGTAGCCTCAGTTATTCCTTATTACATCAGCTACCTGCCAAAAAAAAGTCCCGTCAAAATCGGTGCAGCCATTTCAGAGATTAGCCGGAACAAACAGACAGACAAAAATTGTAAAAAATGTTATTTTGGTGTATGTACCGTATTTATATTCATATGTATGTAGTAAAAACGGTTATTTCAATATTACAAACAGACACTCCAATTTTATTTATATGTATTAACTAATATTTTACAGATATGGACGAGTGTGCTACCTTCGACAATGTGTGCGTGTTTGGCAAATGTGTGAACACGTATGGCATGTTCAAGTGCCTCTGTGACAAGGGATACCAGTCTGACAGCATCGATGACTGTGAGTATGCACACAACTATATGAGTATAAACAACTTTGGAAAGTTTACACTCTTTCCCGAGGAGATAAAAACCATCGCTCGTAAGAATATCCTTCAATTCTTGTCCCTGACGGGTCTAGGCAGCGAACTTTGAAAAGGGCGAGCACAATAGATCTATGCAGGTCGCAGTGCTACAGGTGCTACAAACATCTGACAATAGCCCAAACAACCCAATAAAAAACACACTAATTATGTTAACTTTTTTTTATTGGATGATAATATAGAACAATGATAATATGTGGTGTAATGCCTAGAAATCCTATTTGTTTATTTAATATATTTAATATACAAACAGATCGGCGTGCAAAAACAAAACTTGTGACAACTGTAATATAAGTAGGTAGTCAGTAGACATTGTCTAGAAATCCATTTTTATTTACACTAGCTGTACCCATGGTTTCACCTGCGTGAAATGTATAGACTGTATGTTATTCGAATTTATAAGCTGACTGTAAATTTTCATCAAAATCCGTTCAGTAGTTTTTGTGTGAAAGAGTAACAAACATTCATCCATATCCACAATTTTTTTAGGTTTATAATATTAATAAGGTATTTATTGTACAGACAGATCGACGTGAACGATCAAATTTGTGAAAACTATTTTTTTTTTTCGATAATGGTAATATAATAGTTCTACAGGGTGTAGTGTTAAATATAAAAAGAAAGTATTATATACAGGTTGTTGAAATAGTTAAAAAATCTTGTGACACGTGCCGTTTATGATTTCGTTACGTGTGCGATTGCAGTGATGCCCGGATTTAACTGCACGGACGTGGACGAGTGCAAGTCGCCGCAGTCGTGCCAGTACGGGGACTGCCTCAACACGCAGGGCTCCTACGTGTGCCGCTGCCCGCCCAACCACGACCTCGTCTCCGGGGGAACAGCCTGCTACGGTCAGTTTACACATTACTTTATAGGAAACGTCCCGCCTCATGGTACCAGACCGGCTATACACATAGTCATGAAGCATGAGAGTGCGATTTTCGCACACTTATAGTTTATATAGAGAAGGAATACAAAATGTTATTATGTTTTTAAATCTAAATATATATAACTCAAAGGTGACTGACATAGTGATCTATTAACGCACAGCCCAAACCACTGGACGGATCGGGATGAAATTTGGCATGCAGGTAGATGGTATGACGTAGCATCCGCTAAGATAGGATTTTGATTAATTCTACCCCAAGGGGATAAAATAGGGGATGAAAGTTTGTATAAATCTTCTTAGATTTTCGACTGATTGAACTGAAATTCAAGATTGGAGCTACTATGATGAAGACGTTTGCGTAAATAGGATTCTGATAAATTCGTACGTACGTTAAAATACGTACGTACTGAGTTATATGTATTTAGATTAATTATGTTTCAATTTCGACCACAGGGCGACCACTAGTCATCATTAATCGTTTATTAATAACCAAAAAAGTAGGTTTTCACCAAAAATAAGACATATCTTTAGCTCATTCGTGTTAATAAATCCAAGATATAAGAATTTGCATAAAATGCAACTCTGAAATTATAATGAAATTAAAAAAAAAATACATATAGAGGTATTTTTTTTTACTGTAACAATAGAGTGAGAGAGAACGGAACGTAAATTTACGGTAAAATTTCGATTGAAAATAATGACATCGCACTTGGGTGAAGGGAGACGCATGGTCTCTGAATACAAATAGAACGAATTTTGGAAAAAATATTCATCGTAATTATATACCTTGAAAACGCCACTACATATCCTATGTGGTGTAATATCTCCTTTGGAAAGTATACACTCTATCCTGAGGAGATAAAAACCATCGCCTAATGTCCTTCAATTCTTGTCCCTGACGGGTATAGGTAGCGAACTTTGAAAAGGGCGCATACAATAGATGTATGTAGGTTAGGTAGGACAGTGCTAAAGGTCTATGCATCTCGCAATAGCCCAAACAACCCAATATACATTGAACACATTCTTCTAAAACAAAATGGATTTTAATAAGTTAAGTAAATATCCTTCTACCAGATTGCCAGAGTCTGTTCTAAATCTGCCTGGAAAAAGATTTAAATATCCTATAAAAGACTTCATTTGTAACATTAACCTATTTGTTTAAGTTACAATCGCCAATAGAAACGATCACTGTGTGTTTATCACATATTCCTTAATTAATTGACTTAATAGATTTGTTAAATTCCTCTACCATTAGCTGTGAAACCAAATAATGGGGACTGGTCAAAAAATTTAATCTGTTCACAACCTGAACAAGGTTGTGAACACAGATTAAATTTTTTGTTCTTTGCGATAGAATATGCTGGTGGTCACTCTATTCTCCCAAATTTGAATTTTAATGACTGTATATTATTATAAACATGTTCCACTATTATTTGAAAAAAATACGAGCTGAGTTTCTTGTCAGTTCTTCTCGTCTCGATATCATTCCGAACTGACGGTAGATTTGACATATCATAAGAGTCTGTAATAGACCTACATGAATAAAGATAGTTTGAATTTTGAATTGAATTTGAAAAACATTTGAATTTGAACAAAGCCTATTATAAAATTGAAGAGTTGGTTAACGATAATGTTTTTGTAGAATAACTTAAAATTCATAGCGCTGACAATATTATCTGATTGCACTAAAAATAAGTAGCGGATTCTATGTTGATTATCGCATGCCTCTTACTGTGTAATTGTTTATATAAAAGAAATCTGTTTTAAACTTTCACGTTTGAAGATTTATTTTATACGTATAATTAGTAAAAAACATTTTTACTAATTATACGTATAAAAGAAATCTAAGTTATCTTGCTTATTCTTCTTGGGATGAATCTGTTCCGAATGAGTGGTAGAATAAATAAATAAATATGACTATTTAAAAGTGCTTGTATTGATTTAATTTGAATAATTATTTCTATTTTTATTCTATTATTTCTACTTACAGATTCAAGGAAAGCCCGTTGTTATGCTAAAGTGGAGTTGAGATCAGGGACAGAACATTGTGAAGAAGAGGACGAAATATCTGAAGATGGCACGATGGCGGCTTGCTGCTGTTCTGTCGGTACGTCAAATTAATTATAGCAATTCTTTAGTAACGGCTCCATTATTGATGACGTCATGGTCTTGCGGGTTAGCACAATGCCTTACTTCCGATAGCTGCGAGTTTGATTCCTTGCACGGTACAAGCATTTGTATTTATGAGTATGATTGTTTGTCGAAATTAGGGTATTTTCTATCTACGCATCTACAAAAAAAAAAATTTTGGTATATCAGTTGTCTAGTATTCATAACACAAGCTCTGCTTAGCTTGGGACTAGGGGGCGCTGTGTGAATTGTCCAAGAGCATTATTGTTAAATATTATACCTATTTGTCTGTCTGCCCGTTAATATATATATTACCAGGTGTTACAGATTTCACCCCTTTTCACCCCCAAAAGATTATATATCCGTTCTTACAAACTATTGCTAATCCTACATGAAGAACCGTTCAGACGTTTAGTTGTGTAGAGACAACACGCATATAGATACACATTCGTAATATAATATTAGTATGGATATGTATGTATAAAAAAATACATATTTAAGTACATATGTCGCAGTGTTTATATTATATACGGATATTGCTGCAGGTGCCGCGTGGGGTAACTACTGCGATCTTTGCCCGGAACCAGACTCAGAAGCGTACACACAACTGTGCCCGGGTGGTCGTGGATACCAGCCCATTCTTGAACCGGTTAGTGTTTTTGGAATCTCAAACCAACCATACCCTAATGTAACATCAAAATGGCAACCGTTATGTATAGACTATAGAGATGGTTTAAACCACAAATAAATTCAAATTAAATTTTTTTTTTTTAATTTGAATTTTTTTATTTATGCTTCTTTGATTTTGAAATATGACGTAATGTCCGTGTTATCTTATGATATTCTTTACAAATATTGTACGGAACACCGTACTATAATAATCTATACATAGAAATAAAATTGAAGTATCTGTAATATTGAAATAACCGTTTTTATTACATGCAATATATATAAATACGGGACATACACCAATATAACATTTTTTACAATGTTTGTCTGTTTGTCTGTTCCGGCTAATCTCTAAACCGTGTTCATATTCATATGCATGTAGTAAAATATTACAAACAGACACTCCAATTTTATTTATATGTATAGATATCGGATTTGTCTACAATGTCAACAAGACACCAACTACGTGAGCCCTTCTTTAAATAACAATTAATTATTATTGAAAATCATGTATATGTATATATTTCTATAAATTTACTATTTGTTACTGTACTCTTGTTAATTAATTTCATATTCTCTGTTAATTTTATAACGCCTTTATACGTAGTGATGTACATTTTTTAAGAATTAGTCTATTGTTATTAGTGAAAGCCTGTCAGTGGCTTATTATGACGTATATATTGATTTTATTTAAGATAAATAATATATATATATATATATAATATTTAAATACAGCCGTCGTACGTGGTGACGCTGGCGGACATCGACGAGTGCGCGACGCACCCGTCGCTGTGCTCGCACGGCACGTGCACGAACACGTTCGGGTCGTTCGTGTGCACGTGCGCGGACGGGTGGCGGCTCGCCGACGACGACCACCGCTGCGAGGACGTGGACGAGTGCGAGCAGCCCGACGTGTGCGGGCCCGGCCTCTGCCGCAACATGCAAGGCTCTTACGTCTGCCTGTGCCCGGAGGGATACGTCGCCATGCCTAGCGGAAGTCAGTCTCATATTTTTGTAATATACATAAATAGTATAATTGCTTCGATAGATTCTTGATGGTGTAGTAATACAGCAACTTCGCTTTTGATAAACACGGGTTCGATTCTCGCACATTAACTTTTGTACCTAAGTTTGTGAATGTATTAAGAAGAAAAACAGTTGTTCAGTTTGGGACTAGCTGGCGGGTGTGAATTGTCCAGGTTAATAGTTATCAAATAAAATAAAATCAATAATCATTAATTCATATAGGGCATTTTAGCCGCTTATATGTCGTTTGTATAATTTTTTTATCTACATATTTATTCCTGTAGTTCTTTATAATATACTTATGATATATCATTATTTCTTTACTTTTTCGTAGTAATATCTAATATTTCATGAAAAAAACAACCATTTCAGAGGAGTGCGTGGACGTACGACTGCGGCAATGCTACTTGAACTGGGATCCGGATAACGAGCGGTGCTCAAGCGCTGAGGGCAAGCCGCAGATAAAGCGCACGTGCTGCTGCTCGGTGGGGAAGGCGTGGGGCGCGCCCTGCGAGGCCTGCCCCGAGCCCGGCACGCCCGAGCGCTCCGCCCTCTGCGGGGATTTCCCCGGCCTCTACATCCACCCCATCACCAACCACTCCCAGGAGATCGACGAGTGCAGCGTGATGCCGCAACTCTGCAAGCCCGGCGTATGCCACAACACGCCCACTGCTTTCCGGTGCGACTGTGACCATGGGTAAGATTCGTCTGAATATTTTACTGAAATGTAAAGGAAAAAGAAATCCAGTTAAGTTCTTGTCAGTTCGTTTTAATTTGAATCTACACATTATTCTTGATATTTAACAATAGTAAACGAGTTGATACACTGTGAAAAAGTAGTAATTTATATCCGTTTATATCCCTGAAAAACGAAGCGGCATCACGTTAACATCTGACTCCAATGGTAACCAGCCATGCGTTGCCATTCTGCCTTCATTATAAAAAACGGTTCACCAACCTCACCATGCGTGCTCATTAAATACATTTTACCAATCACCAATAAATTAGATATATTCTTTAACTTTTCAATTACAATTTTGCATACATAAATGCAGTGTAACCAAACTGCACAGTATGCGTTGCGTCGCATCGGCAGTGCATTGTAAAGAGCGGTGTGCACAGATACGTGCACGACAACTCGTCGCACAAGTGCCGCGACGTGGACGAGTGCGCGACGGGCCTGGCGCGGTGCCGCGGGCAGGCGCAGTGCGCCAACGTGCCCGGCTCGTACGAGTGCCGCTGCCCGGCCGGCTACCGGCTCACGCCCGCGCGCGACGCCTGCGAGGACCGCGACGAGTGCGCCGACCGCCTCTGCGACCACGGCGACTGCCGCAACACCGTCGGCTCCTACAGGTACACGCTGCTCGGGCGGGCGCACTGCGCCAACGTGACCATGGGTAAGATTGCCCGGCCGTACCTGAATAACGCCCGCGCGCGATGTGGAAAACGCGACGAGTGCGCCGACCGTTTTAATTTGAATATACGGCATTATTTTTGACATCCTACAGGTAAACGACAGTTGTTACACTGGCGCAGTGCGCCAATTTATATCCGTTTATATCCGGAAAAACGGCTACCGGCATCACGCCCGCGCGCGACGCCTGCGAGGACCGCGACGCGTTGCCGACCGCCTCTGCGACCATAAAAAACTGCCGCAACACCGTCGTGCTCCTAAATACACGAATCGTGCTAAATTAGATATATGCTTTAACTTTTGCCCAATTTTGCGTACATAAATGCCGCTGCCCGGCCGGCTACCGGCTCACGCCGCGCGCGACGCCTGCGAGGACCGCGACGAGTGCGCCGACCGCCTCTGCGACCCCGGCGACTGCCGCTCCACCGTCGGCTCCTCCAGGTACACGACACGTGCTCGGGCGGGCGCAGTGCGCCAACGTGCCCGGCTCGTACGAGTGCCGCTGCCCGGCCGGCTACCGGCTCACGCCCGCGCGCGACGCCTGCGAGGACCGCGACGAGTGCGCCGACCGCCTCTGCGACCACGGCGACTGCCGCAACACCGTCGGCTCCTACAGGTACACGACACGTGCTCGGGCGGGCGCAGTGCGCCAACGTGCCCGGCTCGTACGAGTGCCGCTGCCCGGCCGGCTACCGGCTCACGCCCGCGCGCGACGCCTGCGAGGACCGCGACGAGTGCGCCGACCGCCTCTGCGACCACGGCGAGCAAATAATCTTTATTGGCGCGCAAATAAACTTAATACACTTAATATAAGCACTTTTGAACAGTCACAATTTTTTATTTTTTGATTTGACCACTCAATCGGATCGCAGACTCATCACAAGAAGAGATCGTGAGTAATAGCATTTTACTATTCTTTGTGTTCACTCTTTCGTATGATTGCACGTATGTATTATGCTATTTCACTAACTTTTAAAAAAAAATCCAAAGAATTTATTTCCCAAAGACAAGTCTAAGATCTATAAATTGTCAATAACTTTAATTACATCTTTGCTCCATAGTCAGATTACTGCCAGTTGTTATTTAAAAAAAAAGCTCGCAGTACGTGAGAATACGCAAGCCGATGACATACGCACCTTCTTTCTCATTCTTTTTATATATATTTATTTTCGTATGAAAGTCAATTCGATATATAAATAAGCCTTAGAAGATCTTTTAAAATATCAATAGCAACTTCTTGCAATTAGTACGAGTTTCTGTGTTATTATCTTAAAGGTGTGTGGGACATATACCGATGGATCAAATCCCGAGTTTAAACACTTTTTAGCCGGGCCAGTAAATATGAGATGTTTTTGTACCCAGATGTGAATGTAAGCCGGGGTACACGCTGCGGGACAACGAGTGCCGCGACGTTGACGAGTGCGCGCGGCCGCGGCCCATGTGCCGCAACGGGACCTGCGAGAACCTGCCCGGCTCCTACACCTGCCACTGCGACGAAGGGTTCAAGCCCGGCGCCAATAATGACTGCGTTGGTGAGTCCATACAACTAATTAAAGTATATCAGATATAGGTATAACAAATTGGCCAATGAATAAATTGAATGAATAGCGATATTAGATCACATCACCTGCATTTGTACGTCTTCTTGAAATAATAAGAAATATCTTCGATCAGTCCCCCATCTAATTCAAACGAGGATCAAAATTACGACGGCCCGAGTTGAGGTTCGAACCCCTAGCGGCATTCACAGACTATAGTCGTGTTCGTCAGGTAAGAGTTATCCTTCAGTCGGTTCATAAGTCCTTCCGCGGATTTTGAGTGCCATTTGCACTTGCCCTTTATTGCTCGGTGAAGCTGTAAAGGCCAACAGCATTAATATAGTTCGATAAAAAAGTATACTTGAAAGAACGTATGTGTAAAGGTAGGCAGTACGTGTAATGTGGCACATGAGATTTGCACGTAGTCGTGTAAGTGCAGGCAGTAGGTGTAACGCGGCGGTGGTGTTCGTTGCGCAGACGTGAACGAGTGCCGCGAGGGCGGCATGGTGTGCCGCAACGGGCGCTGCCGCAACACCGCGGGCTCGTTCCGGTGCGAGTGCGCGGCCGGGTACGTGCTGACGCCCGACCGGCGCCACTGCCGCGACGTCGACGAGTGCACCGAGCACGCGCACAGCTGCGGCCGCGACGGGGACCCCGCCTGCACCAACACCAACGGCGGGTCAGACATACTCGATACCTAATATTACCCAATATTGTACTGACTGTATTGTAGTACTACTATTAGACACTACGCCTGCACCAACACCAACGGCGGATCAGACATACACGATACCTAATATTACCCAATATTGTAGTGACTGTATTGTAGTACTACTATTAGACACTACGCCTGCACCAACACCAACGGCGGATCAGACATACACGATACCTAATATTACCCAATATTGTAGTGACTGTATTGTAGTACTACTATTAGACACTACGCCTGCACCAACACCAACGGCGGGTCAGACATACACGATACCTAATATTACCCAATATTGTAGTGACTGTATTGTAGTACTACTATTATACACTACGCCTGCACCAACACCAACGGCGGGTCAGACATACACGATACTTAATATTACCCAATATTGTAGTGACTGTAATTTAGTACTACTATTAGACACTACGCCTGCACCAACACCAACGGCGGATCAGACATACACGATACCTAATATTACCCAATATTGTAGTGACTGTAATTGTAGTACTACTATTAGACACTACGCCTGCACCAACACCAACGGCGGGTCAGACACGCTTTCTTGTTATTATAATAGTCCTAACTGTAAATAAAACCTTAGTGATAGAAGGATGAAAATTTAGGATCATGTGTATTTTTTAATGCCACATAATAAAAAAAATTAAAATAAAATTGTCGAAAAAATGAACAAATAAATTTTTGGGGTGAGACACCATTGACACTTAGAGATATAAAAATTAGTTATAAACCTATTCTTAGACCTACTGAATATACATAGTAAATTTTATCAAAATCGGTCTAGCCATTTCGGAGGAGTTTTGACATAGGCCTCCTCCAGCTCTCTCCATTGACTTTGTCTTCCGCAACACTACACGGAATTGTTATTACAGTTTTAAAATTAAATAACACCCATACTTTTTTATGGATGATAGTGAAATTTTGCACCCGCCTGCGCTACCGTTTTGCGCTAGCGAGTAGTTGCTAAAGTTGAATATACAGTAAGGTCAAGTTAGAGTTCACCAGGAATTTATCACGATGGTTTCTAAGAGAAACCTCGCAGTGTTATGAAGCATTGCTAGTAATGGGGTCATCAGTTCATATTACATGTAATATTATCTTATCTGTGATATTACTAACCTATATTATTGTAACTAGCAGAAAACATTGTAGTTTACTTTTGTGCCGCTAGAAAATGTCTAAAAGTTTCAATTGTTATTCTTACTAATCTAATCCATAAGCATCATCCAAATGATCAATTAATATGATACTACTTCTTAAATTAGCCTAAATTTTCAATATTGTAAATGTTGTCATATATCCCTTTGGCTTAAACCTACTTTCCGCGGCAAAGGGGTCCTCGAGGCCCCAACCTTCATCACCATAGGGGGATGTGTTCATATGTCTTATTTTCTTTCTCACACACATCTTTCACAATTTCATTTCATATAATGTACATATAAATATGTTTTGATCATGTAGATATGAATGTTCGTGTGGTACCGGATATCGACTGGTAGGCAGACGGTGCGTCGACCGAGACGAGTGCAAAGAACTGCCGTACGCATGCGCCGGTGGTGAATGCCGAAACTTTAATGGAGGGTGAGTTTTTAGTGAAATAATCTTACTAATAAATACCAAAAGTTGTTTTTTTGCCAAAAGTTTAGTTGATGTTATTACTCTTTCACGCAAAAAATGCTGAACGTATTCTGATGAAACTTTACAGTATTTAGCTTATATATTAGAATAACATATAGGCTGTAATTTAGAAAGATATTATGTAAATTGTGTGGAAGTATAATGATAAGTGTCAACAAAGTGTGATGCAGATGAAGTTCAGCGGGTTAGCTAGTAATTCGTGTAAATAATTAAATGATCACTAGATTTTGCTCTGAACTCGAATATAATTGGCATATATAAAAAGTTCTTTATTTTTTCCAATAATATTTGCTGTTATCAGATTTCATGGTTGGTTAATATATAGGCGCTTGAAATAAATTTTAACGACCTGGATTTTGTATTTGTGATATTATTGTAAGAATCTCTAATTTTAGTTATGATAAATTAACTGTTTAACTATAATAATAATCATACTCATGAATACATGAAAGGTCGTGGATTTGATTCTTCGCACGGTACATCGAGGAATCAAATCCGCGATATCATAAGTAAAATAGTGTGCTAAATCGTTGGATCCATCGATTATCCATCAGTCTTTTCTCCTCTATCCAAAGGTTGTGTTGTCTGAAAGAGATCGATTAGGTGATAAGACCGCCTTTTGAACGTACATACTATGAATATTGTTTTGTTTTGTATTTTTTCAAAGGTGCAATAAAGAGTTATAAATGAATAAATAAAAATTAGTAGCACAGAGTAGACGACGGTGTAGAGTAGTCTAAAGGCGATAGTGACGCAGTGGTGTTCGGCAGGTACGTGTGCGACTGCCCAGACGGGTGGCGGTTCGACCGCACGCTGGCGGTGTGCGTGGACGAGCGCAAGGAGCTCTGCTACGACCGCTGGGAGGCCGGCCGCTGCCACCACGCGCGGCCCCTCGAGCTCGCGCGCCCAGAGTGCTGCTGCTCTGAAGGTACACCTCCTAGTAACACCTGGACTCCTTCTAAACTGTACTTCTCCGAACTCTTATCGCACGGCACGTGTAACTCATTTGCAACGCAGCTGTCGCAACCGAAGGTCGTGCTTTCACTTACTTTCACACGTAACACTTGTAGTCCTATTAGGCACATTGATTTTAGAAGAAAAAGTCTACACATCTAAAATAAGTAATCATATTGCTAAGTGACAGTTTATATGCAACGTGCAACTGATCAGAACGAGAACAAATTGCTGCTGTATATGTATCCGCTGAATATCTCCATCAAGTCCTTGTAAACTATACTTCTCAGAACTCTTGCACGGCGCATCACATTAGCAATGCAACTGTTGCGTGCAATTTTTCTAACGGCAGCTAACCTTCTTATGGGTCCACCCGTTGCGTCTCTACCACGCTTTATACACACGACACCGTCCTCACCAAGGAAGACGACAACCTCAACCACACCATACCGCGCAATCAGCTAGGCGCTCCATACCGCCGCCTCCGTTTGCCCCTCTGATCGATCGCCCGTCCAATTCAAACGGGGATCGAAATTACGACGGCCCGAGTCGAAGTTAGAGCCCCTTAGGGGTGCGCTTAGACTAAAGTCATCGGAGTTCAATCATCGGGAGTTGGCCTTCAGCCGCTCCATAAGTCCTTCCGCGGGTTTGGAGTGTCATTTACACTCGCCCCCTATCGTCCAGTGAAGCTGTAAAGGCCAGCTGCGGCCAACAAGCATTAAAGTAGTCCGAAAAAATATACACTTTTATGTTGTCAAAGGAAGTCATGTACCTAAGCCTTGAAGGGATGTGTAAATACATCCCCTTAAAACCTCATGATTCTTTAACTTATATAATATTTTACAAGGTAGATCCAAAATCACATACTTTGACCCCAGTGAGTGATGTGTACGAAATAGAATATGCCCATAAAATATTTCATTTACTACATCTACCTGCTGCTCTTCAGTTTACGCGTGATCATTGCCGTTGAATCACTGCCGAAATATCGGGAATTCAATAATAAATAAATAAAACGTGACGTGACAATATAAATTTGACTAAATTTCTGGTAATAAAAATATATTTAATATGTGGATTCTCATTAAATTATTAACCGGGTCTTAACACGAATAATTTTATGGCAAATAAAGGTATTTACCTCTCTCGAGAGAGGTAACTACCTTTATTTGCCATAAAATTATTCGTGTTAAGACCCGGTTAATAATTTGAATAATGTATATTAAAACACGAAAGCTTAAAATTAACTATGTTGATTCACACTCATCGTATTATGTGTGTAGGCGCCGCGTGGGGCAGACACTGCGAGCGTTGTCCGCCTCCAGATTCCACGGAGTTCTTGCAAATTTGCCCGGGAGGAATGGGTCGACCGAATAAAACACAGGTAATGGTTCAAGTATCTCATCTACTTAATCATGAACATGTTCATTAGTCAAACGCATACCTGAATAGCGATTGTCATTTGTATTTTATTTATGTAGTGTAATTTTTATTTTTTTGTTCTTGTTTCTCGTTCTTTCTTTATCTAACGTCTAAGAAAAGGTAGTATATATACTAATGTAGGCATGTCTCTAAATATGGTACTCGCGGTAATGTAGGTGAAATACTGTTTGAATTCGATTAATTAAGTATGTTTTGAGTATGTAATATTTATGTTTGTGGTTTTGAGTATATCGACTGTAAAGTTAAGTTAAGTTAAGTAAAGTTTTCTCTTTATATATTTTTTATACAATAATATATAACTGTACTGGAAAACGCATAAAACCAGAATATATATATAATAAGAAGAACTGCAACACTGTACGAACTGAAAATTACGAAAGCAATCAAATCTGCTAAAAGCTAATTGGCTGATCGCATATAGACAACGAAAAAAGAAAATATGCTTTCAGTTTTCTTTGGGAGAAGTGGAATTTTGTTTTTTTTTGGAGTTTTTCAAACGACGTTGTGTCTCTATGGTTGTGTTTTGATGGCTGATTGAAAGATACTTAATGGTGGCCGGCCGGCAGAACACACAACTATAGCTACTGTCCGGTATAGACCAACCAATTTGCTTATTATATTTGCGCCGGCCACAACTGTACACTAGCCAGCAGCAGGGGGTTCTTCCGGGGGCCTTAAAATGTGCCGCCGGGTATGGGCCTCGAGCATATGCTCATTACCCGGGTATACTGCTGAGGTGGGCCACTAGCCACGATTGTTTAACCCGTAATGTATCGACAGGACCTGGACGAGTGCACGGTGCGGCCGGAGGTGTGCTCGCAGGGGCGGTGTGTGAACACGGACGGGTCGTTCCGGTGCGAGTGCGCGGACGGGTACACGCTCGACGACACCGGGCTCGCCTGCGTCGACGCGGACGAGTGTGCCGCCGACCCACGCGTCTGCGGCAACGGGACCTGCACCAACACCGACGGCGGCTACGACTGCACCTGCAGCCCTGGGTTCACCGAGGGGCCCGACCATGTACGTACCATCATCATCTGCTTCTTCCTTATCCCATTTATTTGGGGTCGGCGTAATATGTTTCTCGCTTCCATTCATCCCTGTTCGCAGTCATCGCGTTATTTACTTCGTTTCTTACCATATCATCTTTCACACAGTCCATCCATCTTTTTTTCGGCCTTCCTCTGCCCTTATAACCGACCATGTACGTACCCATACTATATCTGTCGGTTAATTTACAGTTCGCGCTCTCAGTGGCGTATACTCTACTATCTTATTAATATTATAAACGATAAGGATTTTGAGTGTGGATGGATGTTTGTTACTCTTTCATGTAAGAACTACTGAATGGATTTTCATGAAACTTTACAGTAATATCGAGTAGATTTTCTTTCAAACGTAAATTACGGAAACATTAATTTTTTTAAAATTATTGTTGGCAGTACATGATATTTCATTGTCAGATTATTAAATATGTATTTATGTATGGTTTATGTATGTATATATGTAGTTATATATATATATATATATTTTATATTTGCACCGCCAACAATTATTCTCTGCGCCACCCATGGTTGACTGGTAGATAATGCCGCATAGTGTTAAGTCCGCCATATATACTTTCAATTATGTGCATTAAAGTTTTAATAAATAAATAATATAGCTTCTAAATGAGTATAACATGCAGGCTATAAATTTCACGCGGGTGAAATCGCGCGCACATCTAGTATGTAATAAGAATAGATGATGGTATACTGTATATTAGATATATATACATTACTTTTGATGTAGTATGGCTAAACAGCAGACAGCTTACGAAGTGAACTACTTGGCTGCTGATATCTATGCAGACTTTATAAGGGTTAGGTATGCCTGAGATACTCAAATACATATGCAGAGTGTGTAAGAACCGTACATGTGTCGGCAGACGTGCGTGGACGTGGACGAGTGCGCGGGCGGGCCGGGCGACGCGTGCTCGTCGCGGTGCCACAACACGGCGGGGTCGTACCGCTGCACGTGCCCGTTCGGGTTCGCGCTCGCCGACGACGGCCACTACTGCCGCGACCTCGACGAGTGCGCCGGCGAAAACTCGCCGTGTCCGCACGACTGCCAGAACATCGTCGGCTCCTACATCTGCAAGTGTCCGGAAGGTCGGTCGCTTCTCTTTCTCGCATACATTAGCACACATATATTGTCATAATGATATATGCATCTATGACCACAGTTATGCAACATGGGATAGTTACAGTGATCGTCGACTGTCTTCAACATTGCAGTGAACGCACTAGACATTCGCAGACTTCACTATGTATATTAAAATCCGAGCAAGAAATGTTTCTACTACCGTTTCTCTAATTCCTTTCTTTTAAATAAAATATGCTCCTTCCGATCGACCCCCGACCAAATCTTAAAGGGGATCGAAATTACGACGCTTGGAGCCGAACCTCTTGCGGTGACCTCAATAAAAGTCGTGTCCATTAATTACACAGGACTTGGCCTTTACCGCTCCATAAGTCCTTTCGCGGGATCGGAGTGTTATTTGCACTCCTCCCCTATCGTTCGGTAAAACTGTAGGCCAGCTTTGGACCTCAATAAAAATTACAGGACTTGGCCTTTACCGCTCCATAAGTCCTTTCGCGGGATCGGAGTGTTATTTGCACTCCTCCCCTATCGTTCGGTAAAACTGTAGGCCAGCTTTGGACCTCAATAAAAGTCGTGTCCATTACACAGGACTTGGCCTTTACCGCTCCATAAGTCCTTTCGCGGGTTCGGAGTGTTATTTGCACTCCTCCCCTATCGTTCGGTAAAACTGTAGGCCAGCTTTGGACCTCAATAAAAGTCGTGTCCATTAATTACACAGGACTTGGCCTTTACCGCTCCATAAGTCCTTTCGCGGGATCGGAGTGTTATTTGCACTCCTCCCCTATCGTTCGGTAAAACTGTAGGCCAGCTTTGGACCTCAATAAAAGTCGTGTCCATTACACAGGACTTGGCCTTTACCGCTCCATAAGTCCTTTCGCGGGTTCGGAGTGTTATTTGCACTCCTCCCCTATCGTTCGGTAAAACTGTAGGCCAGCTGCCGCCAACAGCATTAGATTACTACGATAAGATAGACAGGGTACAAGCGCACTTCTGCGCCGTATAGTTGAATGAGATGTATGTATGTATCCACAGGGTACAAGCGCACTTCTGCGCCGTATAGTTGAATGAGATGTATGTATGTATCCACAGGGTACAAGCGCACTTCTGCGCCGTATAGTTGAATGAGATGTATGTATGTATCCACAGGGTACAAGCGCACTTCTGCGCCGCACGACGCGGCAGACGCGTGCGAGGACGTGGACGAGTGCGCCACCGACGCGCACGCGTGCTCGCCCGGCGTCTGCATCAACACCGACGGCGGCTTCGAGTGCGACTGCGACGACGGCTACCAGACCAGCGACGACGGCATGGCCTGCATCGGTACTTAATACATAATGGCCCTTACTATAAATACCTTATAGACTAACATGCGAGATAATAATACAATTGTCTCTGTAATTACGGCATTAATGACGGCAATCTACCACGCTAGCACCGACACACCATCCTCTTCGGCCATCTAGTACCAAGCTAGGTAGAGCTTGGGTACTAGATGACTTAAATGAATTTTATTTCGTAATTCGACATAGCTCTATGAATTTGCAACTTAAAGTCGCAGTTTACTGGTCATATCTATCTAAGAACCGATGCTCGCTGGACCAGATGTGTTGTAGAGTGGAGACTGCGAATTGGCAAGCGTAGTGTAGAAGGGCCCTCAATTAGGTGAAGCGATGACATACATAGAGATAATAACTCTGAGAAGGACTGAAAATCATACCCAGTGACGTGGCTTGGAGAAGGTCTATGTCCAGCAGTGGACTGCAATGGACTAATGATGATTATGTAAAAAAATTGTTCTGTTACCAGATCGTCGGACGGCTACGTGCCACCGTTCGCTTGTGGGCGGCCGCTGTATGCCGGAGCCGTGGCCGAGGCACATGGCGTCTACTCCAGCACTACCCACGCATGTCACTAAGTTAGTACAGCTTGCTTTTTACAGTTCAGAATTAGTCTATGAATTTATTGAATAGTAATTACTTAATAGATTTAAATGATTTTGTTTGATTCCGCTAGCATGTGTAAGACTATAAACATTCAGTGCGGAAATCCTGACCATCGCTACTGGAAACGTTAGATCCTTCTCTATTGGTGATCATTTTCCGTTATACGTCTACACCCATATTGCGACACGTGCAACATGGGTATGGGTGTAATTTGTCGGAAATCGATCACGGGAATTTGGTCACCAATAATGCAAATGAAGTATATTCTATCCATCTATATTTTACAGGGCACAATGTTGCTGCACAGTTGGCGTAGCGTGGGGTCCAGAATGCGAAATATGTCCTTCCCCCGGCTCCACCAAACGAAAGGAGCTGTGTACTGACGAGAACCTTGGTCAAAACCACGGTGGTGGTGGTAGTTTTGGCGGAGGAGGTTCAGGAGGAGGAGGTTCAGGAGGAGGCGGTTCAGGAGGAGGCATATTCGGCGGAGGTGGTGGAATGGGCCAGGGTGGCGACGGTGAAATAAGAGGGCCCGGTGGCATTTTCAATGATATCGACGAATGTGCTGCCATGCCAGATCTATGTTCTCCTGGTAGATGCGTGAACACAATCGGCAGGTATGTTAAGTTTAGGTTTTACTCCCAATGAAAGAGAGGGGTTATTATTAGTTTCATGTGTAACAATTTGTATCCACATAATATCACAGATAGACACGATAAACTAACAATCCATATTTTCCATTGGAACGTCCTAAAATTTTGTTTAATGTAACGTGTTTTTATAATAATCAATTATCTCAAAAATTTGAACATTTGATGTGGAGCAAAGACATAATTATAGAATTTTTATAAATTACAAAATGGACGGATATTTCTATCTAGAGCAAATACATAATTATAGATTTATTGATAATTTATTAACTTTTATAACTACGCCCGCTCGTAAAAAAATAAATATTAAAGCAGTCGAAATTTTATCGACATATACGCAATTACGTTGGTCAATATAGTCTTTAACAGCAAAAAAGTTTTTTCTTCGCGATGAAGATATTCTAAATGTTGATTTGGCCGCCAGATCCGCCTGAAGGATACGACTTTAGCCCTTTAGGGTTTCTAATCACGGCTCAGGCCGTCGTAATTTCGATCCCTGTTTGAATTGGACCGGGAACTATCGGAGTAATAGTATATGTCTTGTAAACGTGGCTATTAATTAGCCGTTATCATAAAAAGTGTCATGTAAAGTCCCACTTCTGACACCATTATATTGAGGAACCAAAGAAAAGTCTGTCTCGCTTTGCGTACTTTAATGAATGACTGACATAGACAATAACAATATGTAGCAGCATGCAGTTGGTTTATTGGTGGTGGTGTTGTCAGCTTCCGGTGCGCGTGCGGGCCCGGGTACCGCGCGGCGGGCGCGGAGTGCGTGGACGTGGACGAGTGCGCGGCGCGGCCGAGCGTGTGCTCGCACGCGTGCTCCAACACCGACGGCTCCTACCGCTGCGAGTGCCGCGCCGGCTACGAGCTCGACGAGGACGGCGCCGACTGCCGCGACCTGGACGAGTGCGAGCGCGGCGACCACACCTGCCAGCAGCTCTGCACCAACACGCGCGGCTCCTACGAGTGCGAGTGCACCGAAGGATACGAGAAGCGCGGCGACGCCTGCGTCGGTACGTATATGCGTTGTTTTGCGTTTGTGACTAGTTAACCAGGACGTAATAAATACAAAATTAGGACACTGTAAAACTATTTAAATAGTATCAAACTAATGAGTAACCAATTGTAGTAATATATTTTTGAGGACTTTTACCTAAAAACCTATTTAAACAGTATTGTACTCGTATCAGATATACGGACGAAATTAGGTTCTTCTACTTAGTATTGTGTTTTGGATTACCGGCTTACTTCCGATGGTCGTGGATTCAACTCCTCGCACGGTACAAACATTTGTATTCATGAGTATAATTGTTTATATGATCTAGGTGATTTCTATGTATATATGTATTTAAAAAAAAATAGCTTCTTATTTAGTTACATCAGATTAACACATAGACTATAAATTACACAGCATACCCAGTTACAAATAAACATAAATTGAATTAAATTTCAGACGTGGACGAGTGCCAGGAGGAGGGCATCTGCCCGGCACCAGGCAAGTGCGTGAACCTGCTGGGCTCGTACCGGTGCGTGTGTCCGCGCGGGTTCCGCCTCGACCTGGCCGGCACGCGCTGCCTCGACCGCGACGAGTGCGAGGAGGGACGCTGCCAGTCGCCCTGCAGGAACTACGCCGGGAAGTACCGCTGCGACTGCCCCGCCGGTACGATATCTCACTACTAGCCTTCACTCTTGGATATCTTTTTGGTCCATCGGGCCGGATATTTTTATATTTAATTCAGATTAATTATGACCTATATTCTAAATACTTTAGAGACTAACATATATATGAACGATATTAAATTTATTATAAATGTAAATTGTCTGTGTGGTCACGGCACTGATGCGGCAATCTGTCACGGTAGTGCCAATACACCACACCCGTCGGCCAGTAGTCCTCCTTTATGAAGGTGGTCAGCATGTTGGTGGGAAAGCGGGCCACAAACGCTTTGAAACTATATATATGAAACAGCAACTTATGGATCACGTACTACATATGAATGATTTCTGATTTGATTGATTATATTTAAAATGATGGACGTCTTAAAACCAAAGTCAGTTTAAAGTTGACGTAATGAGAGTTGATGTATATCTATACTAATCACTACTCTCCACTCCTGGACATCTTTTTGGTCCTTTGAGCCGGATAAGAACTAGAGACCTATGGATCGCATATTACATATGAATGATTTCCGATTTGACTGATCACATTTCAGATGATGGTGGTTTTAAAACTCGGGCCACTTGCGAATTGGCGTAGTGTGTGTGATTGGTTGCATTGTTACATGTTGTGTGTGTGTGTGTGTGTGCAGGCACGAGCCGCGGGCCGGGCGGCGCGTGCGTGCCCCGCGACGGGTGCGCGGAGTCCCCGTGCGGCGCGTCCCCGTGCTTCCCGGTGGGCGGCGCCTACCGCTGCGGCTGCCCCGCCGGCTACGGCTGGGACGCCAGCCACGCCGTCTGTCTCCAGGTGCGACCACCTTAGGGTTTTCACCTTAGGGTTGCTTTCTCTTAGGGTTTTCACTAAAGCATTCGACGCAATTGCGACTATTATATTTATGAAAATCTGATTACTCTATGGCTTTCCGTGACAAATTACTGATTGGGTTGCGAGGAGTCGAACTCGCAATAATTTGAAGTTACGGCGTTAATACATTGAGGTTATTATATTACCATTATTAGTAAATCATTCTGTGTATAAACATTAGAACTTGTAATCTAATACTTAGGATGTTTCACTAGGCACTAATCTAGATTCATTATTATAATAGTTAAATATTTGTAATATTCAGATCAGTATTAAGAAAGTACCATAACGAGTATAATATATGACATTAATCTATTGTGTAATACGTGCTTTCGGAATGAGTAGAATTTAAAAAATATTATAGTTGAAAAGTACTTCAATGAAGTTTATTTATATTTCTACTTGTATGTACGTTACATCTGTCGCGAGAAAAGATTATCTCTATTTCTACTCGAATACGTCTCATCTGTGGAGAGAATGTGCTAATTGAGCGTCGTGGTGTGCAGATGGCGGGCGAGTGCGCGGCGGCGGCGTGCGCGTTCGGGTGCAGCGCGGGCGCGGGCGGGTACCGGTGCGGCTGCCCGGCAGGGTTCGCGCTCGTCGGCAGCGGACACTGCCTCAGCGCGCTCGACGCGCCCGCCTCGGGGCTCGGCCCGCTCGGCCCCCTCGGCCCCCTCGGGGACATCGGCGACGTGCCCGTGTTCCCCGTGCGCGACCAGTACAAGGTCGGCGACTCCGACCTCATCTCCACCGAGGGCTGCTTCAGCTGCAAGGTACGTTGCGCTCACCTCTCTAGCTCGCGTTGTAAGGGCGGGCCCGGGGCCTCGCTCGGGGACATCGGCGACGTACCGAGGTCAAGGTCGTCGACTCCGACCTCATCTCCACCGAGGGCTGCTTCAGCTGCAAAGTACGCAGCGCCCACTGCTACCGTGATAAATTCCTAGTGGATTTATCGTAATGAACTAACTAATTTTTATGCTCATCTTATTATCCTACACTGATCTCCCGCCAGCGTAAAGCATTAGCGCAGGCCGATGCATCATATCATTGATCCATAAAAAAATGCACTTACCTTGAAGTGGAAAATCGACATGTTTATTCTAAGACAATTTGTATACTTATTTCTTATGCTTGGTATAATATAACGTTACATAATATAATATAATCACACAAAAAAAATATTATAAGATTATGTATCATCTGTAACGTACCGCTCTCTCGTGGCTGTGGAAATATACTCGACAGTTTGCTATTTCAATTGTATAAAAACAATACTTTTAAACGTGTTCAGATGAACGGCCGCCGGCGGCGAGCTCCTGAAGAAGGCATCGTGTACGCCAACGGAACCACGCTCGTCAGGAAACGTAGGAGGCGCAGCCGTCGTGAGTACTTGTATATACTAGCTAGTAACCCCGACTTTACATGGGTGTACATGTATTAAACATATATTTGTTAGTTTACCATACCTTAGTTTTTAATCACTCTATATCTATTGCTAAAACTGCATTAATATCCTTACTGTGTTAATAAAATATATATCTACCAGATATAAATTTTGTCTATGGCCTACAATATCTAGATAGATTGATAAAAATCTTTATTCGTATGCAGATAACACAAACAAAGATAGTACAAATGAAATTCATATAACACATAAGAATTGTTGATTGTGTTAAAGCTGATTTCTGTTTGCTTTGGGAGAAGTGGAAATTTTGTACTTAAATTTAAATGAAACGACGTTGTGTCTGACTGACTGATTGTAATGTACACAAACGGTGGCCGGCCGGCAGAAACACATAACTATAACTGCGGTCCGATATAGACCAACCAAGAATAGTAAATAATTATAAAACAAAACAACACATATATATGATAGAATATACCTTCAACTTAAATCCTTTTACACGTACCCGGAAACGTGAAAAGTGGACAAACGACCCAACCATCCATTTATATTATTACTATAAATACTATTTACACTCGTGCCTGTAAATCCCATGTTTTTCTCAGGTCGTCGTTCACTGCTCGAACCCGAGGCAGAATTGGTCGTAGTCCACGCCACACCCAAGCAGACATGGGGCAAAGCGCCACTTCTGCGCCTCATCCCAGCCGAAGACGGGCCTCGTCCGCACTATAGGATTTCATACGGAGACGACAACAAAGACTTTATACTGTCAAAACGCGACGGAACATGGGCCCTCAAGTTGAGGAGACACCTCAAGTCGCACACGGTCATGATGAGGCAGCTGGAGTTGGAAGCGAGGTTCGTGCCCGTCCCCAGCTTGGGCAGGAGACGCAGGAGACACGTGGACCTGAATATACCTGCACCATTGAGACTCTACGTCTCGATACGAATCGCTCCTAAGAAGCGTTGACCGTAGTTCTTACAGTGAGATTGGATTGTGTGATGTCCTGATTTTCGAGGTTCAATCATAATTGCATATAAATAGAGTTTAAATTTGCATCATCTGAATGGTGATATTCGATTAATATTAACAAAATTTTGTACAAAGTGGTCTGCGTACCTCAGGCTTCATTACTACCGCGAAGGAGCTTACTATGTGAGAGTGACATGACACTGTACTAGTTACCATATATCATTAGGTACATACGCCAGTTACATAGTCATACTATATCTTATAAAAAACCTAATTTATTCAATAATCTTCCTTCTTTATTCGTGATTGATCTGAAATTCAATAAATTAACGAATTGGATGATTTCTATTAAAATTCAAATCAAAGAAATTATTTTAAATCATATTAGAGTTCGAAAGGGTTGAACACACGAACTTCAGGACTAGTGATGTATGTACTATTACCATTTTTTTATATCGATACTTGACAATAAATGCAATTTTCAAATACTTCGATATGGAGAAATCGTAATAAATATTTAAGACTCGAATTAGCGTAAACAACGTGAAAATAAATATTGTGCCTAGTTATTTTATTACGACATTATAACATTAAAATCACTGCCATAAAATATCTGTTGTAATAGTCATACTGCCATTGTTGTGTTGTGAATATTACCTTATCGACGTTGAACCGAGATGGTATATATTTATGAGAAATGGTCACGAATGTGTGTTGTTTTTTTGAAGAAATTACATCGCCACATAGCGCTAGTCTTCTACGTATATAGAAAAATACGGAAAAATAAACGTGTCATTGAATCTTAGATTGGTTCTCTTAATAGCGCCCAAATATTTTGTTTCAGCGGCAAACATTATCTTCGGTATTATTTTCATTTTTACATTTCTCTTTCTAATAATTTTCTGTTTTCTTTTTATACATATTTTTTAAATATCGTTGTTACAAAATATTACGGGTTATCATCGGATCGTCACGCGAGTCCGCTAGAGTCTTAGACGATCTCGTCGGCAGTATTAACGTGTGAAGTGATTGAATGCATAATACTAAGTTAGTTTATTAATATAACGATGTAGCCATCATTAGGTCCTAATAACGGTATTTTTAAGTATCGAACCTATTTTTTTACTCCTACGAAGCTAAACCGAACTTGTCGTGTAATAAATATCGATAGTTATATTTCTGATTGTCTTTACAACACTATTTTGCATTTGATTAAAATGTCACGCGCTAGTGTACAATTAGATTGAATTTAAAGTAAGGAGACTATTTATTTAATTTTCTTCGTAATTTTATAATTTAGAATATTCTAGTTTTTATTTACTGTGAAAATTAATGTATTGTTTAGAATTTATAATACAATAAATTATTATGGCAGTTTTGAATGGGGAAACTATGAAATCTCTGCAAAAAATCTGTTTAATATAAATATAATGATTATGATATAATAATAAGTGTTTGTACATATGTGTATACGAATATTGAAATTAATATAATGGCATTAGATTTAGTTAAGTATATATAGGATCGATTAACATGTCAGTAATCGTGGATGGAAGTGGAAATAATAAAATAATAAAATTATTATATTGTTTTTTATTGTATCGGACCAGAATCTCAGTATCAATTTCCTTTAGATAAAATTTCGAAGTTTCATTGCATTTCAATTCGGCGCCGGAATCAAAATTACCAATTGAAAATTAATGACTTAAGTCTATATATTGGAAGGCCTCCAGCAAGGTGGACCGACGATCTGGTCTAGATCGCTGGAAGGCATTGGATGCGAGCAGCGCAGGACCGATCGTCATGGAGATCTTTGGGGGAGGCCTATGTCCAGCAGTGAACATCGATGATGATGATGTTGATTTATATATAAAAGTTACGTGTCACGTTGTTTGTCCGCGATGGACTCCTACTGAACCGACTGCAAATTTGATTTGCATATTGTGTGTAATTTGATCCAACTTGAAAGATAGGATAGCTTACATCTCAATTTATAGTCGCAATATTATTTTATTCAAGAACCTTAGCCACAGCAACGCGTGGCCGTGTATGCTAATTTTATATATAGTATATATTTATTAAATTAAAAATAAAATGTTCCATACAGTAAATCCATTTGCTAAGTCTGATATATGGTCGATTAAATAGAAAAATATAATTTTTGAAAATTAGAAGCTAGAATTGCCTACTTTTATATAAGTCAATTATATTAACCACGCCGTATTAATCATTATCTAAATACTTTTAAAATGATATATAACACTTCTGTGTAAAGATAAAACATAAAGGGATTTTTTTTTTAAATAAATTTAAATATTTCAAATGCTTGTCTACAAGACAAGACAAGAATATACATTTTGAATACTGCCATTTTTCTATTTAACCGACGATATATTTACTATATATCTTAAACCACAGACAACATAATATTACATCCTTGAACCGAGTAACTTTTGATGCGGGACATGTATGTACACCAGCAAATCTATACAAATTTAATATTGTTTCTGACCCTATATGTGCTTGTGGAGCGTATGGAGATGTTAATCACGTGTTCTTCTCCTGCCCTCTATATGATCGTTCTGAATTCATTTCCCAACTCCTGATCCGTGTCCCACTTCCTACATCTATAAATTGTTTGTTACATAATAGCGATACCAATGTATATAAAATATTAGCCACATTTATTTTATATAATAATTTAAAATTGTAAATATATCCATATATATATAATATATATACATTGAAAACATCATAAACCTGACCAATCCTTTATCCTACAAAATTCCGTTCTATTCCGTATATTTCCCTAACTTTGATATTAGCTAAATGCGAAGGCAAAGCCAAAGATGGAGGAGAAAAAAAAAACTTTTGATGCTGACTGTACATTGAATGTTTTTATAGGAAAAAGCTTTGTTAATTACTGTTTCAAATTCCCATATATATTTTTTTCCCATATTCGTCCATCTCCTTTTTAATGTTGGAGCAGGCAAAGATCCTTAGACCGTACAGCCTAGTCTACGTTTAAACTTCTTCATATGTGTATAAGTGATGAGGCCAAATATTATATAATACTTTCATTCGTGTTCAAAATTCCCATAAATATTGATAAAATACATTAACCTGTTTTCTGTCATTTGAAAAAGTAATTATTCCGTCAGACTGATGTCTTAAGTCCTCTATGAAAATTTACTTTACAAATCTCATGACACTATTTAAATTACCGATACCTGTCTTAAACCGCTGCATTAGTTTTTATAACCCATAGCGAACGAAACGCAAAATTACAAAATGTCTAAGAAAGAAGAATTCTCCTGCGAGATGTACAGCAACAAATTCTTCTGGCTGTGTGCGGCGGGAGGAGCCTGCGCCTGTGGCCTCACACACGCGTTCGTCACGCCTCTCGACCTGGTCAAGTGCCGGCTGCAAGTAGACCCCGGGAAGTACAAATCGATCTTTAAAGGGTTCGGTATTTCGTTGCGAGAAGGTGGCGCCGCCAATTTGGTCAAGGGCTGGGCGCCGACCCTGATAGGGTACTCCCTTCAGGGCTCTGTTAAGTTCGCTGGGTATGAATATTTCAAATACAAATTCGCTAGTATGGTCGACGAAGAATCAGCTTATTTATACCGTACTTACTTGTATTTAGCTGCCTCAGCATCCGCGGAGTTGATTGCTGATGTTTTCCTATCGCCTTTTGAAGCGACGAAGGTTAGGATGCAAACGACGCCAGGTTATACTTCGCAGATGAGAATTGCCATGCCACATATGTACGCTACTGAGGGCATTGGAGTCTTCTACAAGGGTCTTACCCCGCTTTGGGGTCGACAGGTACCATATACAATGATGAAATTCTCATCTTTCGAGAAAACTCTAGAATATTTATACGAGAATGTAGTGCCTAAGCCGAGGGAGCAGTGCACGAAGGTTGAGCAACTGCTGGTGACGTTTACAGCTGGGTACATCGCTGGAGTTCTCTGCGCTATAGTGTCACATCCTGCAGATACGATCGTTTCGAAGCTGAATAAAGACCCGAGTGCGTCTATAGGTGGGATTATAAATGAAGTAGGCATGGTTGGAATCTGGCGCGGCCTGGTGGCGCGTATAATAATGATTGGTACTCTGACTGGACTGCAGTGGTTTGTGTATGACGCCTTCAAGGTTTACACAAGGATGCCTCGCCCACCGCCTGCTGTCATGCCGGAGTCGCTCAGGAAGAAACTGGCTGCCAAGAAGTAATACTAACACATTTGAAATTAAAATAGCGTATCGTCCAATCGTTCTGTCTTTTTCTATTATGCAATATACGTTTCTTTATTGTATTTATTTACTTCAAGCTCTTTCATTCTTGGAAGAACGTTTCCAGGTGTTACATTATATAAATGGTCTAGGTCAGTGATTCCCGAAGTGGTCTATATCGACCCCCAGGGGTCTATGACAAACTGCAAGGTCTACGACAGCGGTCATCTTGTTGTTTTTACTTTATGTTTTTAACACTAAACTTTACAAAAAATCAATACCAGGTAAGAATGGGGGGTCTACCCAAAACCGAAAAATATGGCAAGGTGTCTATGACAACAAAAAGTTTGGGAACCTCTGGTCTAGCTGCTACTCGCGACTATGTCCGCGTGAAATTTTAACTTTTTTTTAAATAACAATAATAAAATCTAGAATTAAAAATAGCCTTTTTAATTTTAGATTTCATTCTTGTTACTCCTTATAACATTAGCTATCTGCAAATTTAGATTTATTTGATATCTAAGTGAAAGTCCCTTCAAAATTGGTCTAGATGTTTCAGAGATTAGCATAAACAGAGTTTTTTTTCTCTACTCTCAATTGAATTACTTTTTATTTTATTTAGGATTTTTTTTAAATTAATATTTTGATGTAGTACAATATATACTATCATACAGATTTAGTGAAAAGCTGTTAATTTGAAACTACAAACAGACACTTCAATTTTAGTTACTTGTATAGATGTACAGATGTACATCTAGATACAGATGTAAATAAAACAAAGAGATCTTTGTTTTATTTTTTTACTGCATGCACTTTCATTCCGGGAACGTGTCGAATCGTTACATTATATACAATAGATATAAATGATCGTGGAAACGCCTTCATAAACCCAATACCATCGACCATTTACTGACAATAGCGTAAAAACGAAATAAAACCCTTTTACTGGGAACCAATTCCTCACAAGTTATCTACACTGTATTGGGAAATAGTAGGGTTGCCATCCGTCCGGGTTTCCGCGGATTTGTCTTAGTTCAGACGACATCCAGAGCGTCTGAGGTTATGTAATTTTTTTAGGTCTTAATATTAAAGTGTATTTATAATTTGTGTTTTATTTTAAGAATAAATAATCGAATTGATTATTAAAACAAAATGTAAAAAGATTCTGGATTCCGTTTTGTTATGTACATTTAAAATGATAATAAAAAATTACTACATTTAATTTTTAAGGTCCGAAAATAAATAAAAAGTTTATCTATGACATTTTTAACAACATGTTTAAACCTGTTGACATGTCCGGGTTCTGGACTCCAAAATCCGGGGGGTTAACGCTCATCATTATTTCCAAATTTAGAGATGGCAGCCCTAGGAAATAGGAACAGAAAAACAGATTATAATAGCACGAGACGATCGTATACAAAGGAGGTTGGGATCCTCCGGGATGGCAATAACAATAATATGGGGATTTATCTGAACATCGTGCCCCACTTACCGGATTTAGCCGGGCGATCCGGTTAAAGTGACCTCCACTAAATGGAGCCGGTGGACGGCGGATGTTTTAGAGCGGACGGACCGCGGCCACAAACACCGGCCCGCCCATTTAACATAATCTTGGAGTTACGCTGTTCACAAGAGCCGTGTTTCTTTTCTTTACGATATTGTAATATTATCTGCTGATGATAACATTCAGGAATATTTACTAAAGTATAATTTATATCAAATTCGAATTCAAATTCAAAAATCATTTATTCATCACACATTCATTACAATTTTTTTTTTCCCTACCGTCCAGTTCGGTATAGGATCCAATTGAGAAGAAATTGCAAAGAAACTCAATTGAAATACTTTTTTTTTAAAGCCAGTTTATTTACAATGCATAGGTATTTATATAGGTGTCTATGTCTAACATTAAATGAAAATCACGCACATGAACAACTATTGCCATGCACGCTCGTCATTCAAGTAATCGTTTAGTGAGTAAGGCTTTGCTCAGTAATGATTTAACAGATGTTTTGAATTTATTTAAGGGTAATTCCAATATATCCTTTGGTATCTTATTGTAAATTTTTATCATCTCACCTCTTAAACAACTTGCTTTTTTTTCTAACTAATATCTATCTGTGCCCGCGACTTCGTACGTGTGGATTAGTATCTTGACTAAATGAAGAAACAATATTTAGTAATGTAACCCAAAAAAGCGAATTTTTTTTTATTGTTCTAGATTTAACATTAGAAATTTCCTGACATGGTACATTGCTATCAATGGGGTAATTAGACCACATTACTAACAATCCCCTTTCCCCCACTGGTTGGTCTATTTAATTAATAATAATAATAAATCCATTTATTGCCAACATTAGCACAGTTATACAGCTACACATTTATACATATTTAACATGATTGGCAATAGGTACAAACTCAGCTATTGCTGGACTGATGGGCGTCCAGCGCTGGTTTTCAGTTTGTACCTACGCAGGCGTACCTAATCACACGTGCTAGATAACAATACCACAACATAATGAAATAAAAATTTAACAAATTACTACATAAATAATAATAATATCCATACGGATATTATTGGACACGTGACATGCATGCAATGCATGTGTATCTACACAAAAAAAAAATCACATTTTATGTCGAGATTTGTCGCCGCTATCCAAGGGCTGTCTCTGTCTATATCTAATTACTATCAGTTATGTGTGTTCTCCGTATATTTTTAAGGATGCCAGGAGACTTAGTATTGACTTATTGCCAATTTTCTATGTTACTAGCTGTCCCGGCAAACGTCGTTTTGCCTTAAAATAAAATAAAAAAATTTAGGGGTGGACTACCCCTAACATTTAGGGGGATGAAAAATAGATGGCCGATTCTCAGACCTACTCAATACGCTCACAAAATTTCATGAGAATCGGTCAAGCCGTTTCGGAGGAGTATGGGAACGAAAATTAAGACTAAGAACTAACTAAGATTATTTATTTGTGTGTGTGTTATTGTAAATTGTATTATTTGTGTAATGTTGGCAATAAATCTATTATCTATCTGTCTATCTATCTTATAGGACAGTGAAACAGTTTGGGCTCTTCTCTCCCATCTTTAACTTTTTAAGGTAATCTTATATATACAATTCTCGTGTCACAGTTTTCGTTCCCATACTCCTCCGAAACGGCTTGACCGATTCTCATGAAATTTTCTGAGCGTATTGAGTAGGTCTGAGAATCGGCCAACATCTATTTTTCATCCCCCTAAATGTTAGGGGTAGTCCACCCCTAATTATTATTTTTTATTTTAAGGCAAAACAACGTTTGCCCGGACAGCTAGTTAATTTCTAAAAAAATGATTGTCATTACATGAGTGGGAAAACAAAATTGTATTATTTGTAAGTTGTGTTTCGGTTGAACGATGCGATGCGGTAGTGAAATCATAATTATACTTGTGAATACAAATGGTTGCAGCGTGCGAGGCATCGAAGTGAACCTGCGACTTTCAAAAGTAAGACGGTATGTTAAACAACTAGACCAAGTAAACTAGGTCAAGAAAAATCTCATTATATATTAATTGTATATTTACTTATAGAATATTTATTGGTTTAAATTTCAGTCAATTAAAATAGTTGTTTAGGGGTTATCCGGGGCCAAGCGGTATCGCTTTTGTTAAGTTTAGATTTGTGGTTAAAAGGGTTGCTCGGCGTGTAGAAGGGCTGTGGGCACGATCCCCGCCGCAAACCAGAGATGATGTTTGTGTAATTATAAACGTTTGTACACGCAACCAACTAGAGCGGAACAGCTATTTAGTGTCGCTGTTACCATATATATATATATTTAACCATACATATATATATATATGTTCCATATTCCGGACCTCCTTAGTCTAAATTGGTTGTATCAATTAGGGATGTAACGGAGGTAGTTTTACGGAACCGAAGTCGGAGTCGGAGTTTTTAAATTTGATTTATCGGAATTGGAATCGGAGTCGGAATCGGAGCCGGAATCGGAGTCGGAGGCAGGGACAGAAGTGGTGGCATGAGAAAGAATTTTTATAATTTTATAAAGCATTCTTTAATCATTTTTTTTTTAATTATAAAATAAAACACAAGCAATGAAAAAAAATTAGCATATTATTTCCATCACAAAATTAGCATATTTATATATATCACAATCTAACAATGTTCGCACACACAGTTGCAACTGATGTACAGTGCAACTGACATCAGTTCATTGCTCGTATCATATTAGATCCAGAGTCGCGTACAAATCAATGAATTTTCTCTTTTCGACGACTTTTAGTATTCTCTTTTCTCTTTGACGATTGAGTGCACGTAGCGGAGGTCGGCGGGATTCCCCGCGCGACATGTATGAACCTGTTCATAACAGTCGACACAGGCCGCCCTCGCCGCTATGTTATGCTTCGACCTCCGATTAAAACCTCCGATTTAAAAGTGTCGCAGCCGAAGTCGGAACCGAAGGTGTAATAATAATCGGAAGTTCCGACTTAACGGAAACGGAGTCGAAGCTCCGTAACATCCCTGATATCAATTACCGAGCGCACTTTGCTCCAGGAAGCAATCCTGGAGCAAAGGGCGCTCGGTAATACTGGCCACAAACAAAAACATGTGGCCACTTAAATTTAGAATATAGAATAAAAAACAATTGAAAATGCTGCATCTGCTGAGTTTCACCACCGTACCACCCGCCAGAAAGTATAATACCATCCTGATCATCTGGATGAATGGCGGTCCTACACTGTGTGGTTTTCTAGAAACTTTTTGCCACGTACAACCACATTGTGGAATCACCTTCCAACTCTGTTATTTCCGAAACGATACTATATTGTAACCTTCAAGAGCTTATTCCTTTTTAAAAGGCCGACAACGTACTTGCAATTCCCCTGGTGTTGCGGGTGCTCATGGGCGGCGGTAATCATTTACCATCAGGTGAGCCGTAAGACCGTTTGTCCCCTGTGTTATAAAAAAATAAGAATTGGAATAAAAAGGACGCTCCGTATTTTTTAACTATAAAAAACAAGAAAAATATTGATTTATTTGTAATATAATTGTTTT